TATATATATTTGTTTTCTGAGGTTTTCGCAGGTGTTTGTATGTAGGTCTTTGGTTCGGGTTTTCTCCCGCGTAAAATTGGAAGTGTCTTGGCGACGTTTCGACGAAGTCCCATTCGTCATCTTCAGGCTGGTGTCTTCAGCTTCATGCTTCGTGTATATATATACACATATACACATTAAAAATAAAAGTAAAAATATGACTAAAATATGACTCTTGGGAATATCCATACTATTAAAACAATGATCACCAAGAGAATGCTTTAAGAGAATACAATTACATACACACAGAGGTAAAAAAAGGATATATGCAGTGTTATCTTCATTTTAGATGTCAAAAGGGTCTCTCTCTCTCTCTGTCTCCCTCCCTCCCTCTCTATCTGCCCTTGGTCTGCCACTCCTCTTCCCCCACTCTCTCTCCCTCCCTCCCTCCCTCTCTCTCTTTCTGCCCCCCCTCCTATCTGCTGCTCACCTGGCAAGCTTGAAGCTGTTTCCAACAAGCTCAGGGGTAAGCAACCTCGTCTCTTTTATGACTCATGGACTTCAACTCCCAGATTCCTGAGTCAGCCTAGCTGGGCTAGCTAGCTCTCTCCTGCCCTTCCTGCTTCCTGCTTCCTGCAGAGATGCAGCAAAGGGAGGAGCTCCGCCCAGTAAGCTTTTCAGCTCCTCAGAGAACACTGTGAGTGCACTCTTTTACACACACACACACACACAAACCACACAGAGAGAGAGAGAGAGAGAGAGAGAGAGAGAGAGAGAGAGAGAGAGAGAGAGAGAGAGAGAGAGAAGTGCAGTTGCCTCTCTCTGTCTCTCTCTGCAAAGGCAGAGGAGGCTGGGAGCCACAGGGGAAGGCTCAAAGAGCCGCATGCGGCTCCGGAGCCGCAGGTTGCCGACCTGTGATTTATACCAAGGGGTCTTCAAACTTGACCCTTTTATGACTTGTGGACTTCAACTTCCAGAATTCCTCAGCCAGGCATGCTGGCTGAGGAATTCTGGGAGTTGAGGTCCACAAATCATAAAAGGGTCAAGTTTGAAGACTCCTGATTTATACATTATATTAATCTTTCAATCACAGTTTAATAACAGAATGTAGATTGTTTGTAATATTTTGCCCTAAGATTGAAAAAAGAGAACTAACCTGTATGACTTCTTCGGTGTATAGCTAAAAAATGATTATATTTAAAGACTTTCCCACAGTCTTTGCACTCAACTTCAGAACCAGTACGTTTTCTTCTGCCATTGGCCCTTTTTGTCAGTCCATTGTCCTCTTCATCACCAATAAGTTTATAATCTTTTAACTTGACTGACCGCCGTATCCTACGTTTGCTGTAACGACTCTGAGAGATCTGTGTATTTTGGCACTTAGGATCATAGTTCTCATCTTTTTCTGTTGAGACACTGACCACCGCTTCTGTCCTACATATTTCTCTTCCCTCTCCACTTACAGGAATTATTTCATTGTTATTTCTGTCTTCTACCACCACAGCCTCTCGCTTTAGGAAATTTTGCTTATTATGAACTGAATTGTTCTCTTTTAATTGAACATCTTCAATAGAAAGGGAGTCTAGTTTTTCTTCCTGAATGTTCTTCACTTTTCTTGGTCTTCCACGCTTCCGTTTTGGTGGATCTTCACTTTTCTTGTTCTTGGCTAAGACAGCTATTGGGGATTCACCATTAGAAATTCCAGATAATGTGTTAGTTAAGCTGCAGTTTTTCTGTTGCTCTGTATATGCTCTGACTAGATCGTTCACTTTAAGGAGATGAGCAGTCGCTAAAATCTGTTCTATACTTTTTTCACTAGCTTGTAGGCAGCCAGTGTAAATAAATTCTAATAGCACACCAAAAGCATCGGCCACCATCCCTTCCAGCATATAGATCGACTGGCCAATCTCCCCTTCTTCAACAAACATCATGGAAAAATATTCACTGCTGGCAGCAAGTAATGCTTTATGTGCTCTAAAGTGAACATTTTCTACAATTAAAGTGATATCACACAAAAAATCTTTTTTTCTCTGTTCCTCAAATTTAATCAGGATAGTATCTCTGTGAACCTTGGAGTGGATTGCTATAAGTTTCTCTGAAGAATTAGATACGACTTCATCCATTATTGCTAGAGACAAGGGAAAAAAAAGAAACTTAAGATTCAAAGTGCTCCAGGACAAATGGAAAAATATTTAAGTACAAGGCACATTTGCTGGCCTATTCGAATGGCACTACCTAATGCCCTGAAATGCCCAACTTTCAGAGTTACACGCTAGCCAATATAATTTTGAATTAAGCATCCTAAATATGGGTCTCATTTAGCTTTAATAGTTAATAATTAAATAGCTTTAAAAATAGAATAATTGTTGATACCAAAGTAGCAAAAAATAGAACTCTATGATAAGATACCCCAAGTTTGAAAGGGGAAGGCAATTGTCATGAATTTGCCACCTACTTTTTATAATGCCTTACTTCTGTTTTGGAAAGGTGGGGGGACTCTCCAGAGAAACATGGAAACTGGCAGTGGGGAAAAGCAGCAATATATTTCACCTCTTTTAACTTATGGAAGCACCTAGTTAGTGGACTCAGCTATAGAATAAATCCTTTCATTTAGGGATGAGTATTAATTAATTAAACTTATTGGTCACCCATCTTACCATAAGATAACTCTGGGTGACTTAGGGTCACAAAACTATATCTACATTAAAACATAAATAAATTAAAACTCAAGATTAAAATCTAAGGTCATATGGGGTGGGCAGGGGCAGAATTTGGGGAGGTGGGATCTGTTGTTACTCCATCAATCACCTCCACTGTGCTCTTTCCCCATTGGAACCCCAGGCCAACTAACATTGCCAGGTCTTTAGGCCCTTATGAAAGGAGGGTTGTAGCCAGCCTCACATGGGGGAGGGGGACACAAGATGTTGTAGAGGGCAGGAGCAACAAAAGAGAAGGTCCTCCTCCTGGACCTCTGAGTAAATTGGGATGCAAATCCTTTGGCTGAAATTTTAACTCCATTCATTCAAACAGCTATTTCTACATGGGCACACAGATGTACACATATACACAAAGAGGGTTTGCATTGGAGCTACTGAGGACAGAATACCATTCAAATTAGACCTCAAATGTAATACAGTACATACATACTACAGTTTGACTTTTGATCAGTTGTCAATTATAACTTATTCCTAAGTATATATCTGTGAATACCAAGAAAGGTTCTTTCAAATCAATAAAGACAGAATTCAGATAGGAATCTAAGTTTTTTTAAAGCATTATTGGAAATAAGATAAATAAAAATCTCATCTAATGAGAAACTATACACATTCAATCTCAACATTTTTTTTTAAAAAAAAACTAGAAATCTCAAATTTAGCAGTGATACAAATGAAACATGAAGACAGATATTGTCCAGATCTATTTTTGTTCTTTTTAACGCATGGGAATGATTATATTAAAGTTCTGGTCAATAGGAAACTAGCCAGTGTTGTCACAATGTACAAGGAGCATCTCTCTCTGATTCAGTATTGCAGCTGTATCTTTTCTCATGCTTACATGATTGCTCTTGGCTTTTTCCATATTATATGGGAAAAGGTGTGGCTGCTTTATTGTTTTGAAGAAAAGTACTTTATTCAGATTCCTGTCTGAATATTGCACAATGACTCTTTCGAAGGATTTGCATTGCCTGACATAAGCAGCACTTATAATAATCTAGAGTCAACTGAGCCTCAGACAGAAATCTATAATTTTTTTTTCAAATACATGCTGATATAGCCACTTTTTCTAAAACCACTTAAGAAATCCTTTACTGGGCCGGTCACGGAAGTAAATTTGTTTTCCAATATTTTTGAAAGTTTAAACTAAACAGGATATTTATAGGCTACTTGTTCCATTAAGAAAGGGCTTTTCTCTTAAATAATGTTACATATAGTTTTGTGCCACATCCAACTTTGCTATAGAATCATATTTCTAACTGAACAGTAATTTTCAATACTGATTGAATGCATCATTGTTTATATTTCTATGATTTGTACTATGTTAGCTTAAAATGTTCAGTTGGAGTACTATTTTTGTAAGTTTTTACACTTTTTTACATTTTGTTTTTTATTTACATTTTTATAAAAAAAATTAAAACATGATTTTTCTTTCCTCCCATGTTAAAATCCCTAAGAACATTAAAACCATTTATCATGCTGTATTCAATCATTGACTCTATACCATTCTTTCCCTTTCAGGTTAGATTCCATACTATGTGACTTCCCTGATAAGTGAATAATAAAAATAACATTTCTTTTCTATAATGTGATATTTCTCGTACTTTTTCCAAAACCTTTGCAAAAGCAAAAAGACGACCAATGAGAGAAATAAGGGCAAAAAGTGGCTGGTCTTTAAAAGCCATCCGCTTGTTATACACACTTCCCTTTGCTCTCATCTTTAAAACAAAAGAGGAGTCAAGACTGTAAAGCAAGACAAAGCAGAGAGATAATGAAATAAAGGGCAAAAGATGAAAAAACAGAAGCGCGATGCCTATTTTTTTTCCTTCCTCCCAGAACTTTGCTGCCTCCACCAGCTGCAAGCGAAATTCAACAGGTGACGCTTTTTCATCTCATCCAACTGTAAAACAGGAGGTTTCGGGTAGTGAATTTCTCCCTCTCGAACACTCATTGGAAAGTTCTGTCCTTCCAATGATTGTTATTTACCAAAAATATTTTCCAAATCAGCCTATTTACCAAAAATAAGCATTCGTAGCCGGCTTAATGCAGCCGCAATCGCGGCCATCCCGCAGTCCATAAAGATCAGAGAAGAACCAGAGGAAGAGTTGGAAGCCCCAAATCCCATCATCAGGCCATTCGTCTAATAGCTGTCAACGGAAGAACAGAACCTTTCTCTAGAGATAATCTATTAGCCGTTGGGGGTGGGGTGGGGGAGAGGCAGCGAGGAAGCCGGACTCACCCACGAGTGGGAAAGCTGCAAATACGGAACCCCGCGACAGGCGGTTGAAGCCAGCAAAGGCACACGCCGGAAGCGGCAGGCGCATATCCCGGATGTGAAGTCACAAGACGAGGGAGTGCATTACGAGGGGAGAGAACGACAGTGGGTGGGGTGAGTTCGGGCGTAGGAGAAGGTAGGACGGTTATGGGTTCGTTTCCCTTAAGCGACAGCCGGGGATGCTTTCCGTCCAAGTGTTCTAAGATTGGAGGATCCAGTGTGCGATTCGGGTTTCCCAGCAGGTGAAGACAGCACTAGCAAGATAGACTTATAGACCGCTTCCCAGCGCTTTACAGCCTTCTCTAAGCGGTTTACAGATCCAGCGTATTTGCCCCCAACAATCTGGGTCCTCATTTTACCGGCCTCGGAAGAAGGCTGAAAGGCTGAGTCAACTTTGAGCTGGTCAGGTTGAACCCACAGCAGTCAGCAGAGCTAGTCTGCAATACTGCATTCTAACTGTTATCTACGGAGATTCTCGATCATCCAGATCGTGATTGTCCCCAAGGTGCTTTTTGTGAAGATGCTCCTTGGCTAAGAAGCAAAACGTATTCAAGAGAAAAAGCACCTTTGGGACACGAGGTGGAGATCTTTTGGGACTCTCCAAGCTGCCACCTTTACTTAGGGCAGTGCCCCTCCTCCAACCTTTTGGGTACGAAGGACCGGTTCTGTGGAGAGAGGTTTTTTTTCCTGCGGATTGGAGGGTGCGTTGTTTCGTGTGCTGCATGCATCCCGTGGATGGGGCTTTGCTTGTTTGCGCGGCCCACTTTCTGGCATGGTGCAGCTCCGTGATGGTCCACGGACCGAGGATTGAGGATCCTTGACTTAGGGTGTCCAATAAACTTCCAAGAACAGGCTGCTGGGTATTGGGATGTCAGATGTGGAAGTACAAAGATATTCTTGCCACTAGGAATGGCAGACACAAGGAGTCAGGTGATGCTCCCTGGAGCATTTGTAGCTGAAATGATAGCAGTTAAGGACACTTCAAAATTTCTTGTTTTAGGGGGAGGGTTTCCTCCCTTTAAGGCAGTGTTTCTCAACCTTGACAATTTTAAGGCATGTGGACTTCAACTCCCAGAATTCCATTGCTGGCTGTGGAATTCTGGGAGTTGAAGTCTACATGCCTTAAAATTGTCAAGGTTGAGAAACACTGCCTTAAAGGGTTCCCAGACTTTCATGGTGGTGAGACTGTGCCCACTGTTTTACTAAGGAAAACAAACACAAAGAATAAATGCACAAGATAATTGAAAAGTATCTCCTGACTGTTGACATAGAGATACTTGGAAAAATTCTTAGTCTGGTATCAGAGCTGCACTTAAAATTTAGTTCCCTAAGACACATTTGAGCTGTTGACTACTTTTTGCCAAGTACTCAGACAGGTTTTATTTTATTGCTGTTTATATGCGGCTCCATTCCAAAATAGTTCCATATGGCTGAGAAAGTTCATCAAACTGCTATGTGCGTTTCCACTGCCAATTCAGCTATTGCTGCAACAACCAAACAGCACTGAGCCATTCACTAATTAACAATTTATTAAACTCTTGACATTTTAGCTTAATATGTTACACAAATCTGTCTGTGTTGTTAGCTTATGGCTCAATGTATTGGACAAACACATAAACTCATCTAATTGAAGGGTCCTTGGTGCTCTCTGAGTGTGGTTGTTTTCTTGCAGATGTTTCATTATACAAACTAGGTAACTTCTTCAGTGCCACTAGCATTGAGGATGTTACCTAGTTTAGGTAATGAAACATCTGCAAGAAAGCAACTAAGCTCAGGAGCACCAAGGACCCTTCGTTTCAACTGTGAGCTACAAATATTCTCCTTTATTGGTACTGATTTTATTGAGTAAACTGTGATTAAACAAACTATAACACAGTCATAATGGCTTATTCAGGTGACTGACCACTAAGTCTGATTAGTACTGATTAATTGACCCTACTATTTCAGATTGGAGGGGAGGTCATATAATTGCTAGGATTCAGGATTCAAATGGAAGTATTTGACAATGTTTTCTTCATGCTGTCTAGTTTTTCCTATAGAAAATTTATTTTTGAATTGAAGAGCATTCAACTATATGAGCCTCTACTTGCCGAAATAATACAGACAGACTTCATTCACCAATATCAGTGAAGACAAGTCTATACCAACTGCTAATCTGATTAGCCACTTAAGTGACATAAAAACCACTGTTTTTAAAGGCATTGTCTATAATAAATATTCATTCAGAATTTTTCCAATTTTCCATCCTATCAAGGGTAAATAAAGGGAAAAATATACAATGGATTGTATTGCTCCATTGTGCTCAGTACTATAGAGTTGCTGAAAGGATATATATAGTAGAATGAGATTATTCTCAAACTTCAGAAGTGTAAAATGAAGCAATTACACATATTTAGAACTGGGGTGGGGAAGAAACAATAGCAATAACCTGAATGTGGATTCTTTCAAATAACTACATATAGAAGTTAATATTTCACTAGTTAATAAAAGTAACAAATTAAAACCACTACAGTAACAACTGAAAGCCAAGATATTATCTCAAATTTATGAAATATCTCATAGTATCTCAAATTATCTCAGATCTTTATATTTAAATACACACTAAATATTTAAGAGTACAATAATGGCAAACAATAATGATTTAACAAATAGGTTACAGCAGTTAAAGTTCTATATTTAATCACTGAAGAATATTGATATACCCACAATTATAAACATATTTTCTTAGAAGTAGACTTAATTAAAAACAATCTTTACTAAGTTCCTTGCAAAATTATGACTGTAGGGCAATTTACAAATATGTTTGTACACTATCAGTTTTACAAACTGCATTTTGAAAGGCATCCTATAGGAAACTACAGTATTATTTTATTTAGGCTTGTAACAAGCCAATGACATGAGCTTATCTTGACCCATTCTCTAGTTAGGCAGGATCTAAAAACAATCATATAAACAACCATATTCATATAATTTAACAAACATGAATACAGTCAAACATGTATATAACTTTGCAGTATTTTTGCAGTATTTCACTAATAGGAAATTGGGTTCACATCTTTGAGAGACAAGAAAGTCTGTAACTTGTGATCAAAATCAATAGGCCGATTTTGAGGCTCCTTGTACTTCTTTGTCATTTTGATGCCTAGGTATGGGATAAGTTCACAATGGTCTATGAACCGTTCCAACTTCATTTTATACTTCTTTCTTATATAGTCCGGGCTGTTAGGGTTATATGCTGCAAGAAATTAAATACCATTAATTAAACACCACTGTATTTCAGAATTCATATTACTGTTATTCTGATATCCAAAGTCACATAGGATGCATGCACATACTATGTTTCAGTGATTCCCAATATCCCACTAGTTATTTATTTAAATGCTTTTTAAACTTGCATCCATGTACTCCTAGAAAAACCAGCCCCTGGCAATTTACAACATTAGCTACTGTAGTGGTAACTTCTAATACTGAGGTCTTGCTATGAGAAAAGTGCTGGATGGAAAGAAAATGAAATGATGATGACTATAAGGAACAAAAATAGTTCAGCGCTTGCTTGTTTTTCAGATATTTTCTCCATACCACTTTACACATTAACAGGCTAAAAATCCATGTTAAAAGGCATGAGACTGCTGGTCTTATTTTTAATTTTTAGTTGCAGACTATAATAAAAAAAATACAATTACAAACCATAAAAACAAAAGCAATTGTTACGCATGTTATGCATCCAATCAAATTATACTAGGTTTAATTCTTGGAATGGAAGAAAAAAAAATACTGAAAATTCAATAGGAAATCTTTTTCCTTTTAATTTTCTGTTCAGTATTGAAACAGAATATTTTTTTTTACAAATTCAGATAAAATACCTAAAAGTGTTACTTTTTATCAGTGTCACGTGCAACCATATTTTTTGTTGAAGTCACATGTGAAAGCACTAGACCACCTTTTGCATTAATTTTTTCCCCTTAATGATCTATTTCCTAGCATTCATACTATGGAGTCAGTATTGGCTAAATGTTCCTTTGCTTCCATTACTCCTGTATGAATATAATGCTTTCATTATGCAACACTCTATCTAGAAGTCAGCATTTATACTGAGGTAACTAATGTAACCATTTGTTTCCATATACAAGTTCACTAATTCTTTCCTGCTCCCCTCCCTTCATATATATAGTAAAATATACTAAAATTAAAAATAACTTCTGGAAAAGGAACATTACATGAAAAGAATGTTTTTTTTACCTATCAGCAAAATTATTAATAGTTTTTGCTTTTAGTTAACTCTGATGTCAGTGCTCAATCTGAATGTTTTTACAATTAATTATATAGAAATACCTAATTGTTTTTTTTTTAAACTAGTGCTCTTTTCCTTTCTTTTACCTTTTAAATGATAGGCTATGAATAGCAATGCAGTCCTTTTCACAGTCAGGAATGGAAATTTTGGCTTTAAGCAGCCAACCGCATTCATTGCTTTTATTAATGCTGTAGCCACACCCTTTGGGATAAAATATTATTAATGTTAATTGTTAGTATCATGATGTCATTTCATAGATATGCTTTATAATGTACATGGTTTGGTATTGAGTTCACTGAGGGATTGAATACAGTTTCTGAAGCACCTTGAAATTTGATTTTTTTAAAAAAATACTTTTAGATGTATGTCAAAGATACAGCATATGTCTCATTTACTTTGGCCATGTCATGTGGGGGAATTCACTGCAGAAAGCAACTATGTTTGGAAGAGTTAGTGGTAAAAGGAAATCAGGCAATCAAAGAATACAATGGCTGGGCATCATTAAAGCTGACACCAGCCAGAGCATAGAAAAACTCAAAGAAGTAGTCTAAGATCAGAAGATGTGGAGAGACCTGGCTTACAGAATCACCAAGAGTTGGATATGACTGAATGGATAACATCATCATCATTATATGTTAAAGAGCTGAATGTGTATACACTGAGAGTTCAAAAGCTTGGATACAGGTTTCACAGGCTTGACTAAATTGAGTCGAAGTTCAAATAGGATTGCCAAGCAGGGATGACCCTAGTTATATGCCAATTTAGGTCCTAGGTGACTTAGGATATAATTGTGTATAATTAACTTATTTGGCATTATAAATATACAGATTTGATTTGATCACAGAGTCTTAGCTTCTGAGACATACGTGGCACATTTCTGTACATCACAAATCAAATCTAGTCTCAAAATCAAAATTATAAAAAAGAAAGATGTGTCAATAAACAGGAAGCGTGTTAATGAAAATGATCCATTTTGTTTTCTAGAGTTTTGAAATGTGTATAAGTATGACTAACACAAATTAAAATCCAAATATTTTTTTAAAATTGACTATAAATAACAAGAAGAAAGAAACCTGCTCAAGGTATCCAGTCAGAGGAAGAGCTGTCAACAGTATAGGTTCCTTTAAAGGGGGAAGCTTATGTGGAAGTGTCAGTTTCCAATATTTTTCTGGTTTTCTAAGAATACAGAAATGAGAGGTCATCAGAATGTAAACCTAGCTCAATATATAGATATGAAGATACTTAATGCATTCCATACCTCATAAACTTCTGAAGTTTTTCTTCATTTTCAAAAATATATAGCTTTTTGCGATAAAGTACAGCATATTCAATGTTCCCAGGTACCAGAGCTTCATACCTCAAAAGAAGAGCAACACACACACACATATATATTAATTTGCATCCTGCCTTTCTGTTTCAAATTGTGTCAGGGAAATTATCCTTAAAATATAAAGCCCTTAAAATTATTTTAGGGCTTTAAAGATAATGATTAGCCTTTGAACTGAGTATAGAAATGCACTGGAAACCAGTGAGCTAAGATAAAAGAAAGGTCACGTTTCAAGTAATTGGTTCTGATCAAAACTACAGCCAGCAAATGTTTTTCAAAAGGGTTTAATCTTTTCAACCGGCACTATTTTTCAAAACCCTTTCAAAAGTTGTCCCAATTAAGTGTACTGCAATTATTCAACATTTCTATATAACTTTGCTCTCCTATATTTGTCAGCTCTGAAATCAGTCCTGGGCTATATGTAACTTCATCTTTTTTGGGAACAAAGAACCAGCACGAATAGAATAAAAGCATTTTTCAAGGCAGCAGCTATATGGGAATCCAGAAGCATGTTAAGATCTCACATCTTTAACCCTAAAATTATCCAGGAAAAATTATATTGAGTATATTACCATACTGTACATTACAGATATCATACAATGTAATGTACAGTATGGTATATATTCTAGATACTAGGCATTAGTTTGATCATATTTGGGATATGTGTTTGGCCAAAATGTTTATAATATTTAATGAAACATAAAAACAAAGCTGTGAATGGAAGATACTTTTAAGTATATAGAAACAATTTAGAACGCAACAGTTTAAAATACACCTCAAAGCGAACATGGAATTTTGGATCTTCTATGAAGATAAGATATTTTGTGAGACATACTAATACTTAACATTTCTTTAAAAACAAATCCTTCAGTGCAAGATTAAGAAAATGGCTTATATAAATTGCAAAAAAAGAGGCTTCAATTGCCTCATAAAGTGCTTTTATCGTTTAACTTTTTAAGATATTTTAAGTTTGATAGTCTGTCCTAGGCTTGCCTTGGATGTTTTAGTTCTGGTTATTTTTGCTTCAGTTGATTCTCTTCATTCTTATAAAATACTGACAGTCCGGTTAATGGCTTTGGGTATAAATTTGATAAAAAAAATATTTTAAAGCATTTTTTTTTTACATTACATTTAATGGAAATGAACATGTGAGTATTTACCTTTGCTTTCCATCAAGATAAGTGACTGGGCAGAAGCCTTGCAATTCAGCTTGCATGGGAAATAAAGCTTTCACATCTGCTACGGTCAGCCTTTTGGGTAAATTACTTAGTAAAGGAAGAGGATAAGGTGCTAATGGGGGAACATATAATTCTGGAGTTTTCAGGAATTTCTGCATTGAAAGAAATAATAGTTCACAAAAAGAAACATACTTTAAGATAAGAAACATAATATCTATGAAATATATATCTATATCTATGAAAAAACAGATGTTTTTTCTTTTTAACTGCTGTCTATTTAGTTCTACTGTATATTTATCACCAGTCCTTTGATAAGTGCTCTATAGAACAACAATATAACGCAGTAATAATTTAAGAGGATAAGATCAAATTATTAAGAGGGAGGGAAGGATTCAGGGATTACTAAAATATACAATAATAGTATAATCGTTCTGAAAGTAAGCTTTGAGGACAGGGAGATGGCATTGATAGGAAGGCTACAGGTAGTCCTTGACTTACGACCGCAATTGGGCTCAAAAATTATGTTGCTAAGTGAGACAGTTGTTAAGTGAGTTTTGCTCCATTTCATGACAGTAGTTAAGGGAATTGCTGCAATTATTAAGTTAGTAACACAGTAGTTAAGTGAATCTGGCTTCCTCATGGACTTTGCTTGTGAAAAGGTCTCAAAGCGTGATCACTTGACTGACTTCAGGATACTGCAACCATCATAAATATGAGTCAGTTACCAAGGATCTGAATTTTGATCACGTGACCGTGGGGAGGCTGCCAAGGTCATAAGTGTGAAAAACAGTCAAAAGTCACTTTTTTCAGCGCCAGTGTAATTTTGGTCACTAAGCAGAAGGTTGTTAAGTCAAGGACTACCTGTATTTGATGCAAAGGGAAGTCCTTCATTATCACTGTCCTGGAAATTATTTCATTTACTGCTTTTATTTAGTCTAAAAAAATGAAAATGCATCTTGAAGTGCAACTGCTACTACATTTCAATTAATGGCATTATATTCTTAAAGCTCAGGAAAACAAAAAAAGAACATCACCGTACAATTCAGTGAATAAGCATTATGTATATAGCCACTGTGTATATTACTCCTAAGCATTCAAACAATATTTCAATGTATTAATTGTAATATCTCAGGAAGAATTGAATGCTGGGATTAAGAGACCGTAATTTGCCTAAGATAACCCTGAACACTGGGTGGGTGCAGGGATCTCATGGGGCTTCTCCACTATTTTATTGTGTATGCCATGCATGGTGAGAAAAACACCAGTTTTGATATAAGCCACAGCAGCAAACTCTGCTATTGTTTCCAACCCTTCACTAAATAGTCAAGAAATTGGGAAGAATAATCTTTAGAAGATTCTCGACATCTCCAAAGAGTCCAACGGTTGCTCTTAATTGCTAGTCAGTTCCCTACCTCTTTCTCTACAAGGGTCTCTGCCATACCATAATGCAAGCAAATTTCAATTTGTATATGCCTATCAAGCACTACAATAGCAATAGCAATAGCACTTAGACTTATATACCACTTCACAGTGCTTTACAGCCCTCTCTAAGTGGTTAACAGCCTATTGTCCCCCAAAATCTGGGTCCTCATTTTACTGACCTTGGAAGGATGGAAGGCTGAGAATCGAACTGCTGGCAGTTGCAGTCAGCAGAATTAGCCTGCAATATTGCAGTACTGCAATACTACATTCTAACCACTACGCCACCATGACACAATCTCTCACAATTCCTTGTCCCAGCATCTGTTTTCCTGATTAATAATATAATACTTACGTCTAACTCCTTCTGTCCAGCCATCTTGTAGTAATGTCCTCGAAATTCTGCAGCAAACTTCAGAGAAGGAGAATCGGAACAATCAATAAGTTCTTCTCTTTCTGCTAGGCTCACTGGACAATATTGCCCAAAATCTCCCAGCCGAGAGAGCAATTCATTTGGCGTGATACACATATCAGCAATACTGGCAGCTTTTCCTGTTAACCATAGAATACGTACAATCTTATTTTATTTATTAAATTTATAATATACCGATCTTACCATCAAGTGATTTTTACAGCATCATACATCTCATAATTTTGACCATTAAAAAGTTAGAAATAGTAAATCATTAAACATTACAATTAAAACATCAACATTAATACAACAAATTAAATAAAATGTCCAATGCCTAAACAGGGTGGAGATGGAATGTAATCTACAAGTCACCTCCAGAGGCAGGTTTTCAGGCTCTTTCAGAAGACAAGAGGGTGGAGGCAGATCTCCTCTCATGGGGCACATTGCTCCGGAGGGCAAGAGCCATGGCAGAAAAGGTTCTTCTCCTGGACCCCACAGTCAGAATTCCTTGACTGATGGGGTAAATAAATAGGCCAACCCATAGGGGGTGAGATGGTTTTTCAGGTAACCTGGACCTGTGCCATAAAGGCTTTAATGCTGAATTGCATCCAGAAGCAGATGGGGCCCCAAAACTGCTTGCATTCCTGCACTTTGTACCAGCTGTAGTTTCCAAACGCTCAAGGGTAGCCTCACGTAGACTGCATTGCAGTAGTCCAAGGACAAGATGGCTAGGGCATGAATGACTTGAGTGCAGGGCCTCAAGATCCAGGAAAGTTTAGCTGGCCAACATTTGCTTTTAACAAAGATTCCCCACTAACTTATTGTGCTGTGACCCTGTGACATTGCTTCAACCTCATCCTCTGGACATGAATGAAACAAACTTAAGCTGTCCTTACGGTACTGGTGATAAAGTACTTTCCCATTCCCATACCACACAAGGGCAATCTCAGGACATACAAAATCTGTTAGGCTTACAAATACAGTATGTTGCAAAGAAATTGGTAACTTGCAGTGACTAGGAACAGAGAAGAAAGAGGTGGAATAGGGATTGGCAATGGGTACAGCGAGTCTCATGCTGTTTAATTTTGGGTCAATTTAAGAATGGGTGGAGACTATTTCAGCTGTGCAGTGGGCAAAGAACTCCTAGTATGTTTTTAAAATATTCCATATCATTTTTTAAAGAAATGTTTAAATATGCGTTATATATGTGGTATACTTTGAGAGCAAGCAACTAAATTTCATTTTTAATGTATGCCATTGTGCCCACAGTAAAAAATGACAATAAAGATTATCTATCTATCTATCTATCTATCTATCTATCTATCTATCTATCTATCTATCTATCTATCTATCTATCTTCAAATTAACATAGCATTAATAACTATTAGTAATTAATCAGATATAATTCAAATAGTAAGAAGCTTGAAGCTTTTAATTGCATTTTCCTGCCTACAGGGTAGAAAATAAAGATGCGTTTAATGTTAATAGTGTGATATAAAAATATATGACTTCCTATTGCTACATGAATTGCATACATCATATAGAGCTGGAGGAAGAATATCTAAACATCTATATGTTAGATGATAGATAGATAGATAGATAGATAGATAGACAGATAGATAGATAGACAGATAGATACAGACAGATTTTTATACTATAAATGCATCACCTATAAATCCATCTAATATTCATAATTGGTTTTGTACTTCTAAAACCAATTATGAATACTAGATGGATTTGGATTTTTTTGAGCAAATAGCATCTGGAGAGATCATGAGTTTCCTCTAAATAATTCTCTTTTTAAATTTCAGATGTTTTGATTTTTATTTTAAGATGAATTCAATTTCAAGTATAACACTGTAGATTTAAATATTAATTTGCTTGACAAAGAATTATTCATTTAAAACAAGACTTTCAGCTTACCTTGCCGTATTCTTTCCAGATATAATTGGATTTGTTTAGTAACTGCTTGAGTTTCTTGTAGGATTTTGTTCCAGATCCACCATTTGCTGTGAGAGGCATCAAGTATATACCAGTTCTGGTGCTGTTCCTCATAGAATGGCCTGATTTCCTCAGTTTGCGCCTGATAACAGGAGTTCTTGAGGGAAATGATATGAGAGCTGTCATGCAGTGGGTAGGGAGGTCTGAGAAAACAATTTGAAGACATGTTAATGCAACACTTCAATGTTTTGCCTCCTAAAAATTGTTCTATTCTAGGTTATATTGATAAGGATTGTCGACTGTGGCAGTAACATGACATGATTTCCTCTTTTACTTAGTGTTCTCATCACTATGCTTCCTCCCTGCAACTCCTCCTCCCATTTTTTTCTGGAAAGCTCTCCAGAAGTCCAGGATTATTTGGGGGGTTTAACAACAGAATCTCTTCCATCATGGCAGACATGATGCAAGGACTGTACGTAGCTCCCAAGCCTCATAACTCCTTGAGATTCTGCTGCCAGAATTCAGTAACCAATTTCAATGACTCAATTTCTAACTGACTTTTGGAGGCAAAAAACATACAATAACATGCTTTGTTATTTTTTAAGAAATGCTTTTTGTTAAAAAAATGTAATTACTATGTCCCCCTCGCCCCCAGGAAAAAAAAATAAACCTTGGATAAAAAATCCCATAAATCCCATATCATAACCCTTCTGGTTATGTCACTGTTTCACATCTCAGCTGATAGTTTTAGTGTGATTACCAAAAAGTTGCCCAGTGTGTTATTAATAATTGAATTAGTTTTAAATACCATTCATTTTTTGTATAAAAAATATTTACCCTATGACCTGTTTATAATTCTCTTTCATGGAATATAAATACTTTTAAATCAGGGTATTAAAGATTTCTAGCTATAAAAGTTTATACCACAATAAATTTGTCCTGAAAGAACTTTTTGTTCTTTTGGTTGTTATATTGGTATATATTCTTAGCCAGTATTATAAACAAATACTAAAGATATGCATGTATCCTGTAATATATCATGAGGCACAAAGACAGACAACTGAAATAACATTTAAGGAGCACATTTAATTAGTTATTGACCATTCTATGTTCTGTACACAATAATGGAGCTGAAAATGACAACTTTGATATGTTATTTTATTATTTTTACAAAAACCCTGTAATGTGAAGTCTAAAAAAGTTTTACTTTTACTGATAGAATCAGTTTGTGCAGGTTATTCCTTCCCATGTTCCTGGCATTGCTACCTGTTAGGACTTTGTTTATCCAGAAGGGCTCTTCTTAAAACCTCCTTTATATCAATGTCTAACTCAAAGATTTTTATTGGAATGATTTTCATTTCTTCCAAGTGGTCTACCTGTTTTCTTGTAACTGGGTATCCATCAATAACAACTCTATGGGAGAGAAAATTAATAGAATTCAGATCTGAGTTCAGATTTATTTTGCAAAAGTAACAGTTCCTGTAATTCTTGAATACTGCTAACATAGTAGAGAATACAAACCAGAAGGAAACAACAAAAATATATATTTACACACACACACACACACTCAAAGAGAGTGAGTGAGAGAGACTTAAAAGAATTCTGAAACTTATAATCCAACTATATATGTATATATATATATGTAGGTCTTTGGTTATTCGGGTTTTCTCCCGTGTAAAATTGGAAGTGTCTTGGCGACGTTTCGATGAAGTCCCATTCGTCATCTTCAGGCCGGTGTTTTGTCCGCAATTTGTCGGGGGAGTGCAATCCACCCAATTAGGTCCGATAACAAGATCAAGGAGCCGGGCGCAGACCTTGGCTTGCTTATAAGAGACTCCCTCACTTTCTAGCGTTTTAAGCCCTGATGATGCCGGCAGGTGACGGCGAAAGCTTGGCGTTTTTTAATTAAAATTTTATAGTTTTAACTACCCTGGTGCTCATTTTATTTTAAACATGAATATACCCAGGGTTCATATTTTTAATGCTATTACATATATATATGTGTGTTTTCTGAGGTTTTCGCGCGTGTTTGTATGTAGGCCTTTGGTTGTTCGGGTTTTCTCCCGCGTAAAATTGGAAGTGTCTTGGCGATGTTTCAACAAAGTCTCATTCGTCATCTTCAGGCTGGTGCTTTCGGCTTCGTGCTTCTTAGGAGCAATGTGTGGTTGTAGCTGTTTCCTCCTTTTAACTGCCAGTGGGGGTATGAACTGATTGGATGAGAGCTTGGCTGTGTTCTGATTGGATGGAGGTGTGTTCTGATTGGTTAGGAGCTTGGCTGTGCTCTGATTGGCTGGGGGAATTGGCTGTGCTCTGATTGGCTGGGGGTTGGCTGTGCTCTGATTGGCTGGGGGAGTGTTCTGTTTGGGTGGGTGCTTTGTTGTGCTCAGGTTAGTCTGAGTTGCCGGGGGGGGGGTTAAAATGGTGAGCTGCATTGCTATTTTTTGGCTTCGCGTTCGTGGTCGTGTCTCATCTTCATGGTGGGTGTCAGTTTGCTTCATGTATGGATTGGAGGGGTTTAAAGTGGCTAATGATGCAGCTGTGGTCTGGCTTCTGGTTTGTGGTCATGCCTCATCATCGGTGTGGCTTTGGGTTTGCTTTTTGCGTGGATGTGTGGTGGTGACATCCTGTGTGGTTTTTTTTTTGTTTTTTTTAATTAAAGATTTTTAAAATTTTACAATAAAAGCCCCTTCCCCTATCCCTCCCAACCCACCCCAAACCCCTCCCCCATTCTTCCCAGAGCTGAATACAGGCTTAACTAGAACTTAAAAGAAAAAAAGTTTTAAGCCAAAATAAACCTTAAGCAAATATAATTACACTCAATAAACAAATTGTAAAGTACTTTAACTCCATTATATATAAAAAACAAAGAGGGAAAAAAAAGAGAAGATAAAAAAATAAAAAAATAAAAAATTAAAGAATAATAACAATTACACTTCTAGATAATATCTTAAACTTTAAATATAAATTATTCAAAAGCTAGATAATATTTTCTTATATCATACTTATATTGTATAAAATTTATCCATCTTTTCCACACCAAAAGATACTTCTCTTGTGATTGATCTTTCAAGAAAGCTGAAATTTTTGCCATTTCCGCTAAGTAAGAAACTTTAAAAAACCATTCTTGCAAAGTAGGCAAAGATTCCTTCTTCCAATATTGCCCTATTAACAACCTAGCCGCAGTAATTAAATTTAACATTAAAATAATCTCTTTATCATCACAATCCGAAACAATACCCAACAAAAAATCCTGTGTGGTTTTTGTGAGTGTGGGTCTGGTTTTCATTTTTTGTGTTAGGGAGTCGTTTGTCAATAAGGGCGGGTTTCCAAATGGCTGGTAGGCGGGAGGTATCATCTCGTTTGTTCATGCTGTGTGGGCGTTTTTCTATCTCGAAGGCTTCTCTGATTATTCTATTATTAAAATGTTCAGTTTGGGCGATAGTTCTGGTCTTTTTAAAGTCAATTTCATGTCCTGTGATTTTAAGGTGTTGGACCAGGGAAGAAGTTGGTTCCTCTTTTTTGACTGACTTCTTATGTTCTTCAATGCGTGCACTTATTCTTCTGTTGGTTTGTCCGATGTATGTGGTGGGACAAGTGGTGCATGGGATTTCGTATACTCCTTGATTTGTATATGTATATGTGTATATATGTGTATCTGTGTGTGTGTGCGTGTGTGTGTGTATATGTCAATCAGATAAAAATAAAGAGCTCTGGGATGTAAGGTAAAAGGCTTTTTTTTATTAATTGCTGAGCTTTCATTAACAACCTGTTAACATCATCAGAGCAAAGGGCTAAATGAGAAGGGGGGAGTATGTGCATAAACTTACATAACAGTTAAATAGCGGTTGCAGTGAGACATGTGCACATAGTGTGCTTAAGAAGCTCTTAAAGGTATAAAGCAGTCAGTCTCAAGACCATTTTCAAAAGTCGCGCTTGTCATTTTTGGCACGTAAATGTCCATACCTGGGATTCCAATATTCAAAATTATCAAAGACATATGTGTGTGTGTGTGTGTGTGTGTGTGTGTGTGTGTGTGTGTGTGTGTGTATGTATATGTATATATGTATGTGTATATGTATATATATGTATGTAGGTCTTTGGTTGTTCGGGTTTTCTCCTGCGTAAAATTGGAAGTGTCTTGGTGACGTTTCGACGAAGTCCCATTCGTCATCTTCAGGCTGGTGTTTTCAGCTTCGTGCTTCGAGCAGCACGAAGCTTTGCTGCTCGAAGCACGAAGCTGAAAACACCAGCCTGAAGATGACGAATGGGACTTCGTCGAAACGTCGCCAAGACACTTCCAATTTTACGCGGGAGAAACTGCTCGAAGCACGAAGCTGAAAACACCAGCCTGAAGATGACGAATGGGACTTCGTCGAAACGTCACCAAGACACTTCCAATTTTACGCAGGAGAAAACCCGAACAACCAAAGACCTACATACAAACACCTGGGAAAACCTCAGAAAACATATATATGTATGTATATATATGTATGTATATGTATGCATGTGTGTGTGTATCTGACATAGCATTTTAAAACTAGCAAATACTGAAAAGTTATCTGTTGTCCTGCATACATTTTAGAATCCGTGAACAAATAAATCCACTTAATCAGATAAAGCAGAAAATAAAAAAATATTATGGTTATAGCAATGCTTTAAGAAGCTATATCATTCTTTTTTTTGTTTTGGTTTATTTTTTAAATACAGAGCTGTGACTTTCCAGTAGTTAAATGCTATGGGAATTATCAGAATTATGTGGCAGACAACCCATAATAGTCTGTGGCATAGACTGGAAATAGCTTCTTATTGGTTTGCTAAACCCTACAGAAATAATGCAATACCTGAAATAGAAATTGCTCACCCTGAAGTGTTACACACAGTCTCCATCAAGGCAATATCTAAGGCCCTTAGGGCAAGCTCATCAGGTGCAGTCAGTCCTTTGTGAAGATGCCACTTTAGCACAAGGGCCAATTCCGTTTCTGGCTGATAGTTTAATATTGAACGGATGGCATCTCCCATGGAAAGGCGCATTAATCCATATGTTTCTGCAAATTTTTTGGCAACTGCAAAACAGGTTGCCGATTATTAATACCTTTTTCACTGTATCAGTGAAATATACAGTACTGATTGTTTCTAAAGAATAAATAGTTAAGATCGATAGAGACAGTTAAAATAAAAACTAGCATGGTGACTAACATTGATGGGAATAAATATATAGTTCAAGATATTTTTAAAGTTTAATTACCATCACTTGACTAAACTTGAATAGCAGTTATTAATAGAAAAACAGCTTTGCCCTTGGTTCCCTGGGAGACCAATTATCAGAAAACATCATTGTGTGCATCTCTCCCTTGGTCATATTACAGTTATTTTGCATTATGTCTTACAACTATATATAGTAGAAAAGATACAAGCTTTAAAATATACTACACCTTAATTACTTAAATGAAATATACCTCAGATGAAAAAATATTTTTTAATTTAAATTGTAATGAATTTATTAATTTAGTTTAATTTAAATTTAACTTAAATTTTATTTTTTAAAAATTTAAAAAGTACAACCCCCCCCCATAGCTTATATAATGGGGCTGTGTAACTTTCCAGGGTTGCAGGTTGAAACTGCAGCTAAATAAAAGGCTGCAGTTGACAATATTAATAGGATATTGATATTACTGGAAGAGACAGGCCTGATTCTGTTTTTTTTAAGAGTGGGCAGGGGAAAAATCTTTCTCATTTCCACCCTTAAAAATCCTCCAACCCTCAAAAAATGGCTTGCAGTTCTGCCACCCAAATTTGAGGATACAATGGCTGAATTTTAGTTGCATGGTTCTGAACCATGAGGAGGTGGATTGTATTTTGTTTTGCTTCCCCATCATAAAAAACAAGCAAACACAAATACCAATATTCTCACAGGGAGGTAGAAACCGACCTGTTGTCTTTCCAGATTTTGGAGGCCCAACAATTGCAATTTTAACTGGTACAGTTGACTTAGGTTTAGGCTGGCGGAGATATTTGAGGGGATTTTTCATAAATTTTTCTCTATTTTCTTTACTCGTAAAAAAATAAATACAGTTTCGATGAATAACTGGAAAACTTGGTGTGTCATCATTTCGAAAGGGCTTGATTGCATCTCCTTCACTTAGCTGCAATAAACACGGAATTGTTAATATCGAAAATTGTATAAATTATAGAGTATTGTATTTCTTCAGTTGCAAGACATGACATGAGTGTCTCCTCTGCCAGTGTTTTATTAGGGATTCTGTGGTGGCAAGTGGAACACAGAACCGGCTTCCTAGATATCTTACTATAGAAAAGAAGATAACTAAAGGTCAGTAGCAGGAGGCACTTTATCTGTTAATAAGTAGCTGGAAAAGCAAGGAAAAAGGGATGATGCATTTTCTATATATCCAAAATGGATTTGAAGCCCCATTTGTTGATTTATTCTTATAATAAATTTTTGTCTTAGTAATTAACATTTTATGAATGAAACCCATGCTGATATTTATTTATAATTATAAATAGTAAAAAGTATATTGAATTGAGATTAAGAAATAATTTTAGAAAACAAGCAGCCTGGCAGTATGGTTACCTTGATAGGATCCCACTGGCCAAAATTGCTTGGATGTTTATAAGAGAGAACAATCATTTTCCGTGCAAGTGAAAAACTTAGTGGATAACATTTCTCAAATATGCTCTCACGGTTTTCTACAAGGTCTTTTATCTTTTTAAATAATTGGTAGTGCACAATGCGAGGCTTTCGTTTGCAAGTGAGAGTTATTAGGGGTATGTTTAATTTTTCTAATTCTTCCTGGGGAAAAAAATAGAAAAGAAATACAAAAAATATGGTTAAGAGGTATTTTAAACAAATATCTTTCATAAAGCCTCAACAACTAAATCACCACTGCAGGTGTATCACATGTTAATTAGAGTTATGGAATAGGAAACTACTTATCAAAAGAGTAGCAGATGGTAAAGGTAATAAAAGGATACCACTGCAAAATCTATTACCACCTGATACATAGAATTAATAAGTTATTGACAACCCACATTTTCAATTGATTTAATATTGTCATTCATCTTAAGTATGTACAGTTATATTCATTTATTTTCAAAATTCATTAAAATATGCAAGAGCTGGACATTAAAAAATAGGAATAAATTACACCTTCTGATGGTTTCTATAATAACTACATGATTGAAAATCAATTTGCAAGATTGAAAGAAAGAAGAACATTTATGGTGCACTTGGATATTTGATTTACACACTATATTAACCCATTGTTTGCTTAACTATGATTTACTGAATTATCCATAATTGGCTGGGAGTATACCACTAATCATGGTTTGTAAAGCATAAATCACAATGGTGGGTTAAACAGTGTGCAAAGACAAAATCATGCAAAGTAAATTATGATTTTAACCTATTTTTAATAGGAATCAAACCACAGTTTAACAACTAGGCAAAAATTTGGTGTTTTGCAAAAAATAAAAAGTGGAAAATTGCAACCAAAATCAATGTCAATAGAATCAAATGCCCATATCCAACCATAGGTGTACATTAAGGTAGGGAGTGGGTGGTGGGTGATGACACGTGGATCATGCTATCATCATATAATCCAACTTATATACCTGTGTCAGGATGTCATGTTACAAAGATAATGCACACGCCATCATTTTGACCAGGGTTCTCTGCTTGGTATTACTAGAATCTTTCAAATGAGTTTGAATATAAAGAGTGATTTCCTTTGCAAAGAAATACAACTTTTGAATTTTTATGATGTTTGAGGGCAGTTTTATATTCTATTCTCAAACACATAATTAAATACTTCAATAAAGATCAAGATCACAGAATGCATCCTATATTTTGAAATATAAATCTTTAAGAAGAAAACAAGAAATCGTATTTAGTATGCTGACCCAGATGTTATAGTGTCCAGGGACAGATGCAGAAGGGGAGCTTAGATTGACAAAAATATTGTCCTGACAAAAGTCCCACCCCTTTTCTATGCGAATTGCCAGGAATGAAAATGCCAGCTAAAGCAATATTAAAAATTATGTGAATACTTGTACTTGGGTACTTAGATGTTACATTAATTAACAAAGAAATTCCTGGAATTCTGGTGTGATAATATTCATTTGGCAGTGACGTAGAAAAAGTAACAGTGATTTCACCAGGACAGCCATAACTATGGCTGCATTTTATTACTACTGCAAGATATATTGCAATTTCAGTAATTGGAACTGCAGTAGCTACAATTCTTATGAGATTAAAAAATAGGAGTGACTCATCATAGATACAATGTTAGGAGAAGATTCCAAGGGAATGTCACATAGTGGTAACAGCAGCTTGTCCATTTCGGAGAAATAGTAGTGGATTAGAGCTGATGATCATGGCAGAAAGAGTAGTTGATGAGTGGCCTGACTCCCTGAATTCCTCTCTGGATCAAGGAGAGGCGTAAGATTGCTCCTAAGTGCTCCTAAGAGAAGCTTCCTGTGAGAAAACCCAAATTTTAATTAATTTCCTTTACTCTGCTGGACAGCCATATTGATGTTCCAAAGAAACATATTGCTGACCAATTCTTCTGAGGCATCTAAGTTACTCAAATTGCTAAATGGTTTAGGCAGATGTTAAAACAGAATAGAGATAAATTAGACATGCTGAAAATACCTGCACAGTTTGCACATTTGCAGTATCTGCTTCATATCTCTCTGCAATCTCAGTCTTTATGCGCTCAGTAGCTTCACTCTCCTGCTCTTCCTCCTCTTCTTCCTCTTCTTCTTTTGGAAACTCGTCTTCCAGAATAGCTTCAATATCTTCTTCTTCATCTTCATCTTCATCTTCACCTTCACCTTCAAGCTTCCTCGCCTCATTCTAAAATTAAGCATGTTACTATGGAATGATTATTGAAGACTTCCACGAAATAAGTGTTGTCAAATCAACAGCAGCAACCAATAGCTTGCTGAAATGCTGCAATATTGATAGACATGGAACCCAAGTGAAATTTAATTCCCATATGATTGAACTCATTTTCAGTTTATGTACACATGTTGATGCCACACAATGTGTTTAGGAACAGCATAGGAGAGGGATACTCAATTTTTTTATGGACAGAATCCACATTTGCCCTTTTGGGCACAATGGGCACTATAGTACATTATAGTACAATAAGCAGTATATGTAACCAGGACAAAAATGTATATTTCTTTTCATTTCCTATTACTGATATTTAATTAAAATTAAATATAGCATTATTAATATAGTTATCCTATAGTTCAATATTTAATAATCCATCTTCTGTATTATTAAATATTATAGTTTAATAATAGTTTTGGGAGTCCATTGGGGCTGCTCCCAAGATTTTCAAGAAATTGAAATCTCAGGTGAGACTTCTCTATTATAATATGTGGTGGGTTGAAGTAGAAAGGATAATCCCTAAAAAGCAGAGAAATTGCTTCTAAAAAGTATATAATTTGGGGAGGGAGAGGGAATCAAAGGTACTCTGTAGCAATTGGGGAAAAATAGATTACCCTGGGAAGGAAGAAGAGAATGGTGCTCCAACGCAATTTTTTGAAATTTTTAAAATTTGGACTAGACCAACCCACTGATCATCTGATTTTTCTCCTCTGGACAAAAATAATTTTGGAACGATGTCATACTCATTTTTGCTTGCTTATTATTGCTAACATGGAGCCAAAGTAAGCTGATTCTTTTCCGTATACAGTTTATTTTATTTATTTATTTATTACTTTATCAAATTTGTACAGCAGTGTATCTCACAAAAAGTCATTCTGGGCAGCATATAAGAATCCAATACAACAGCGCATATACAAAATGATCAATATTAAAAAAAACATGAGCAGTTTAAGTATCCCATTTTCAAGTAATTGATTCTTTATCCAAATATGCAGCATATATTTGATTTACTTTGAAACAGACAATTGAATCTGTGTTTGTGATGTTATTTCCACTAGATGCAAGCTGAGCACAGAAACCTAATCTGGATTATGACCTAATCTGGATTATGATTTTTGCACAAGGGGAAAAAGAAATATAACTTTTCTCCTCCCAATACTTGAAGCAACACTAAATCCTCCAAATCAGAATCCCGATAAAATCAAACTAAAGCAAGATAATGCAGAATTTTAGTACTGTGTAATTTATCCCTACAAATATCCATGAATTAGCTCCAGAATATGTAAATAGAAAGACTCTTGTCTTTTGAAGGAAAATACTGACAGCTATGGGAGTTCTACCTAAAGAAGTGGAGAAAGTGAATTTAATTCATGTTTCCTTTCTTCTATCGTCTCTTCTCCCTTGCCACCTCCTTCACTATTCCGGATGGAAGCCTAATTTTTAGGAGGGATTGTGGGCAATTGGAGAAATCAGGGAAACTTCTCTCTTACCACCCTACCCCAAAATTCTTCTGTAAAAACATTTCATGAGCAAATATTGTGAATTGAAGGGGGAAAGTCTATGTGCTGACTAGAAACATTTATCCAGTACAGTTTTATCATTGGATAAATAAATTGAGCTTATTTTATTTATTTATTTATTTATTTTTATTGAAAATTTTTTAAAAGTTTTACAAATCAACCCTCACCCAATCCCTCCCAAACCCACCCCCCCTGCCCCCTCCCCAAACTTCCCAGAACTGAATATAGGCTTATTTAAAATTTTAAAAAACCTTTTACAACTTATGAAATAATTAGTAATAAGATATACATAACATAAACATTAAGAAAAAAAAGTACTTAAAAAAGAAATAAAAAAGAAAGGAAAGAGAGAGAGAAAGAAAAAGAAAAAAAGATAAAAAAATAAAAGAAAGAAAGAAAAAAAAAGAAAAAAGAAAACAAAAGACGGAAAAAGAAAAGAGAAAACAATCTATACAAACTATGAAAAAGCTAAATGATATTTTTCCATATCCAAATTATGTTGTATAAAATTTATCCATTTTTCCCATATAACAAAAAATTTCTCTTGAGATTGCTCCTTTAAGAAAGCCGAAATCTTTGCCATTTCCGCCAAGTAAGAAACTTTATAGAACCACTCTTGTAAAGTAGGCAAAGATTCCTTCTTCCAATATTGTCCTACTAACAGCCTTGCGGCTGTAATCAAATTTAACATCAATATAACTTCCTTAGCATCACAATCAGTAACAATACCTAATAAAAATAATTGTGGGGTAAATTTAACCCTCCTTCTAAAGATTCTTTGGATATTCCACCATATCTTAATCCAAAAAGCTTTTATATTTTTACACGATCACCAAATATGGTAGTAAGTAGCATCCAAACAACCACATCTCCAACATTTAGGCTGTAGATCAGGGTACATAATAGACATTTTTTGTGGATCAAGGTGCCATCTATAAAACATTTTGTAAAAATTCTCTCTTAAATTCTGCGCTTGTGTAAATTTAACGTTCCTCACCCAGATAAGTTCCCAGGTATCCAATGGGATTGGTTCACCAATATTTTGTGCCCATTTAATCATACAATCTTTGATTAATTCAGATTCTGAATCCATTTCAACTAAAACCCCATAAACCCTCTTAATATGAGTTGGTCTTTGATCCCTTACTTGTTTAAAAAGATTTTCGTCTTCTCTAAGCCAACCCATATTACGATCCGTCTTCCATCTATCCACTATTTGTCTGTATTGAAACCATGAGTAAGTAATGTTTGCATGTACTAAGTCTTCCAAAGATTTTAACTGCCAATTTTGACCATCCCATCTAAGTAGTTGTGTATAGGAAACCGTATCCATCTTAACTCCTCTCTTTATCCCCTCTATCGCATGCCAAGGTATAGCCCATAATGGTATTTTAAAATCACTTTTATAATATTTCCTCCACACCCTAAGCAAAGAAATCCTTATAATATGAGATTTAAAAACCCGATCCACTTTTTTATTAAAAATTAAATAGGCATGCCATCCAAAAAGTAAATCCCAACCCTCCAAATGGAGAATTTCTGCATTTGTTAAATTCATCCAATCGCTAATCAGTGTTAGAACCACAGCGTCATAATATAGTTTCAAATTCGGTACCTTGAGTCCACCTCTCTCACGAAAATCTTGCATAATTTTAAGTTTTACCCTTGGTTTTTTCCCTGCCCAAATAAATTTGTTAATACCTTTCTGCCATTCATTTAAGTTAAGTTCATTCTTTAAGATAGGTAACATTTGAAACAAAAAAAGAAATTTTGGTAGAACATTCATTTTGATAACTGCAATTCTACCCATAAGAGATAACTGTAAGTTATCCCAATTCTTTAAATCCTTCTGTACCCAAATCCACAACTTTTCATAATTGTTTTTATACAATTTTACATTAGAAGCAGATAATATGACCCCCAAATATTTTACCTTATCAACAACTTCAAAATCTGTTAAGTTAACCAAGGTCTGTTCTTATTGTATTTTATTTTATCATACTCGTGACAGATTGCTTTCCTAAGTAAAATTTGTTCTTAAGGAAGCAACGATTGAGCTTAAAACTTTGTATAGTCTTTGGTGGACAAAAGGGGAAAAAAATAAAAGATGACAGTAATCATAAAATACAAATAAGATCTCTTTTCCAAAAGCAGTGGCTATATAAAATGCTTCAGATGGGCAGATATAAGTCCCTAAGCAACTGACTGATTCCATCATGGGATGAGTGGATAGTTCATCCCCAAAGAGTAATAATTGGTATTAGCATACAATCTGGCTTAGCCGCCTAGACACAGCCATGGAATAGTGTGCTGAACTGCTATTAGTGAAATTAAAAAACAAGCCAGCTACCCTCTTTTGAAACTAAGATTGGGACACAATGAAAAGCTTGAAGCTCAGATTTAAGTCACCTCCTTACTTCTACAAATAAGGCAATATATGTGTATGTGATAGATGTTAGAGATGGGGAATAGAATTAAACCTTAGGACTGGAATGGATCCTTCAAAAAGCTCCCCTTTTGCAGGCTGGATGATATTATAGTGTTGAATGTGGAACCAAAATGCAAACTTTTACAAAGCCATCATCAGACTCCTGAAATCCCAGTACCATCATTTATGGTACTGGAATTTATAGTACTGAGGCATGTCTCAGAAAAGTGTTAAACTTATCAACTAACAACACATCAAACATGCATGTGCGTGTTTATATATAAAATAAAATACATTTATGACTGTTTCTTTAAAAGAAGGGGATGAATGAAAGGAATATTAAAATAAAACATATTTAATAATGTTCTTTACTTTTTAATATTTAATAATAGTGATAATAAATTGAGCTTAATTTGACAGTTTTCTTCATTGAAGTGAGATTTATTCAATGAAATCTTAAAATTAGCATAGCAGCATCTTCCTTTTATATTTTGGATTATATTATATTTTGGATTATAGTGAGTGCTGAAAATTCACTTTCGAAGGAAAAGGAATTAGGGCTCTCAGTTTTCACATAAAAACTATGTTCATTCACACATTTTTTTTTCAGTTGTTTCAAAGTAAAATCTGAGAAGAGATCTGCTAGCATTTCCTCTTCATTTAGGGTTGGAATTCACCCCAAATCCCTAAAATCATTTTCTTAAATCTTGTGATCAACTTTAAAGTATGTGGAAAATGCTAGTGGTCAGGAGAAGAGAGTTTAAGAACATACCTTTTTAAACTACAACAATATTGCATTTGAAGCATATTGATATTAAGATGGTGGTGATGCTAGATGGCATCTTCACTGTATTTAATGAAAAAATGTCAATGGATGGAGGACAGGGATCAAGAGACAGCTGATGTCAACGAGCCTAATGAACACAAAGGCTTCTTAGTGATTATTTTCTCAAAGCAAAACATTTAAGGGCTTTATTCCGTTCCAGCCAATTTAGAGAAAAATGTGTATAATTCTAATCTGTGGTCATTTAGCAATTTCTTTTCTGTTCACAATTTAGAGAAAAATGTGTATAATTCTAATCTGTGGTCATTTAGCAATTTCTTTTCTGTTCAGTTCAGCACAGTGTCCAAATACTAGTCATTTTATAAATTCCTATAAAATTAATTCAAAACAATGTTTAAAAAAAGGATTTATGAAATTTAATTTTGCCTTAGGTGTCTTTCTTACCTCTGATTTCCTCCTTGCTTGTTCAGTTAGAAGCTCTGCCCGTCTTCTAATAAGTTGCTCTTCCTGTTAATAAAAGATTCTAATATACATATTTACAATGTTTCTAACCAACTTACCAATATTAAATGTCTTTTTTTTCAATTAACCCCTGATGAAATGAAGCTAACCACAATTTATTAAGACTTCCTCAATTTATAAAAAACACTGAGCCAAAAATAATGTAGTAAATCCAGCATGATATATAAAGATATGATAGGTTAATCTTAAATCATAGATTGGAAAGAGACCTCCGAATCACTTAGCTCAACCAACTCAATCCTCAGTGCTAGATCTGCTAAAATATTTGGACCATGTAGTATCCAGCCAGAACATCTATCATTCTAATTTTAGACCATTCTGCTCTAAACAGCCAGATTCCTGTAACTTTTGGCTAGTTTTAAAAAAAAGTAGTCTCTATCATTAAAAAGGTTATCTGTCCTTGAATTATATAATTAACACTAGTAATACTTACTCTCACTTTTGCTTTTACTTCTTTAATCTGCAGCTTCTTTTCTAGCTTCTTAGTTCGTTTCTCTTTCCATTTTATTATTTGTTTCGTAAAAAGTCTGTCAGAAATGTCATCTTCCTCAGCTTCAAGACAAACTACAATATCCGGAAAAAGTGAGCGCTCTGCTAAATACTGGACTTCTTCTCCTGTTCTTGGGAAACCATCAAGTATAAACCCAGTAGATCTAAATGGAAACAGTATTTGGAGGAAAAAAAAGTTGTGACTATTCCTTGGAAGTTCAGTTTGCTTGTTTTTATTTAATCAAAAATGAGAAAAATACCATACTGTTTTGTAAAGTTAATTGGAGAACACATTTAGGATGTGGGGGACAGATTTATTTAATTTGATAAATTTGTGTCCCATTTGGAAAAGAGAAAATTCAACTAAAAATTCTATTAGTAATAAAGCCAGAAATTAATATGTTTAGTGCTTTGGAACAGGTTAGAAAGTTTAAGAGATCTGCCAAACAATGGCAACTTATAATGCATGAGAGAACATGCATTACCATAGCATGGTTTAGAGTCTCAGAACTGATAACAATTTTAGTTGCCTCAAATAAAGTTTTGTTTCCAAATCATTTCATAAACTGTGTCCAATTTGGGGCATTACACTGTACAAAAGATTCTGAGGCTCAGAGAAAGACAAGGATAATAGGGGGTGAAAAGAGTCTGAGGGAAATGGATATGATTAGCTTTGCAAAGAACCACTTAGAGGTGGTATAATAGCTCTCCTCAAATGTCTTAAAGGTTTTTCTCAAAAGAGGAGGCTGTGACTGATTTTTCTTTTTCCCTAGAGTTTTTCTATTGTCAAATATCAGAGGGCTGAGAAATGCCATAGCACTGGATAGAAATGGAAGTGCTTGGGCAAAAATCATATTCAGTATACTGCAATCAATATAAAAGTAATTTATTTTTGTTTTAAGATGATATCTGTAACCTGAACCTAGCACAAGAAATACAACATGGATTATTTTTAGCAATAAAGCAGAAATGGTGACTTGTTAATTTATGTATTTTCTTATTTCATCTATAGCTTGTGCAATCTCTGAGGCAGAATCAAGGTTTAGTGGATTTTTTTTTTAATGCTTCTTTAAAAATTACTGCGTTGGAAGAAGAAAGCAATGTATAAGCCATTAATTGGCTACACAAGCTCTGATGACCTTGCTGATCTTCAGGACACCTCAGGGTTGTTTTAAAAAAAAGTCAGAGTTAAAACAAATCTGGGTTTTTGCCCTGGTCTTATAGGGCTTATTAACTTTTATTTAATTGTGAAAGTAGCTAGTTGCTTATAAAAATAAGAATTGTAGGATTAAATATGGAGAAGTACTCCATGTGAAATATTGGACAAATAATATGATTGATTTATCTACTATTTAGAAGTAATTATCACGTGAGACTTATTTTCAGCTGGAATCTACATGCTATATAGAGGAAAAAAGTGAGATTACTTTAAAAAAAACAATAGTTACCGAAATGGTTCCTTCATCCACCAGTCAAGAACAATATTATCAAGCACTTCCATGGGAATTGGGTCATTTTCTAATATATTGGCCTTGATTGCCTCTTCCTCATCTGTTAATTGCATTTCTTTCTGTTAAAATAATAAAAATACATGAAAAATATTATCTAATAAGTGGCAATGTAATTAATAATTTTGATTAATAATTCTGCATAACTCAAGGTTTCACTTAACTTTCTTTCATAATTACATAGTTACAGTATATAGTCATAGAGCATAACATTTTACATACTATATAACTGGGTAATTTGAATGGAAAACATTGGTTTCATTTCCTGGAAATTGCATTCGTGGAGCAAGTGTATATTTAATCTGTTCTAATGATATAACTATCTATAAAAAATAGAGAGTCCTCGACTGACGACCACAATTGAGCCCAACATTTCTGTTGGTAAGCAAGACAGTTGTTAAATGAGCTATGCCCCATTTTACAACTTTTCTTGCCACAGTTGTTAAGTGAATCACTGTAGTTTGTTAAGTTAGTAGCATGGTTGTTAAATGAATCTGGCTTCTCCATTGACTTTGCTTGTCAGAAGGTCACAAAAGATGATCACATGACCCCAGGACACCGCAACTGTCATAAATATGAGTGAGTTGCCAAGTGTTCTGTCCCAGCCTGCGTGAGTCCTTGTTAAGCTCACAAGGAGAAACCCCTCCTCCAACAAGCAGGCTGGAACCGCAGGTAAAAACCAATCCCCTTTTATTATGTACAGACCTGAGTAAAATGTCCAAAGGCAAAGGCAAAGAAAACACAATTCACTGAAACTTGATTCCTTAACACAAACGATTGCCTTCAGTAACCAGCACTTCCCACACCTTCCCTTTTATTATGCAGCCAAGGCATGGCTTTCTAATGCCTTCTCCTTTGCCTTTGGAGCTGCCCCATTGCATTCCTCTGTCCGACTCTCTTTGCCTGCTGTCCTTGATGTCATCCTGGATGTCTTCCATCTGTGAGTCATCACTGTCCAACTCAGCCTCCCAGCACAGCTGTGTCTCAGCCTAAGCGCGAGTGGAGGGGCCAGGCTCCTTGTCAGACTGTATGTCTTGGAGCACATCAGAGCCTTCCTCTGACTCTGATGTCACTCCAGGCCCTTCCTCCTCCTCCTCCGATTCCTCAGACTCAGCTGCCAGGTCAACTGGCTGATGAGGAATCACAACACTAAGTATCCGAATTTTGATTATGTGACCATGGAGATGCTGCAGTGGTCAACTATATTTTGGGGGCTCAGCAACTGGCCTACATTTATGGCTATTTGCAGCATTCCATCGCCATGTGGCCATGGTTTACAACATTTTTGCTGGAAACCAGAAGTTACTTCCAATTTCTGCCAAAAAATGCCCCATAGTGAACAATGGGTTCACTTAATGACCACTATTTTTGCTTTTAAAATGCCATGTTCACTTAATGATTTCTGTGTTTGCTTAATAATCCAAGGTCATAAAATCGGATGCAATTACATGATCACCCAATTAATGATTGTAATTATGGGCTCAATTATGTATACAATGAAGACTATCTGTACTGTAGAGTGGATATTATATTAGCATAATTCCTACACTGTTGTGGACATTCAACCAAAATAGCATGCACTCCATACATTGGGTTTAGTGGACTGTTAGGCTAACAAGACTTAGTTCTTTTAGACTGATGTTATTGCATTATCTCTCCTCCAAACTTGCTTAACCTGCTGTAATATGGAGTCAATTGGTATATAAAGTTGAGTGAATAAATGCTAATTTAACATTTTTAAAATAAGAATCGGAAATGAGTAATGTCTTCCTGTAGCTGAATTGGCACATAGGATGGTTGAAGATCAGCTAAAAAGAAGGAATTACAATTATAACTTGTTTTCTTTCTATTAATAATACTGGCATCTCCCATCATAGCTTTCTTTGATGGAAACTCATTTTTCACTTCGGAAGAAACTAACAAGGAACATATACAGTAGTTCGATTACCTCATGAATTTGTTTACTTTCCTCTTCACTCTCAAATTCAAATTCTGGTGTATTTTCAGGAATAGTGGACTCTCCCAATTCTTGTGTTCCCTCACCTTCTTCTTCCTCCTCTTCTTCTTCAAGACCAATTCTTTTTCCTGTTTTGAGCATGAGCAATTCTTGCAAGCGTTCTTCAAACTGAATATGAAAAATGTTTAGCTTATCTGCTAACCACCGGGAACAGCCTGTTTTACCCACTCCATGTGGCCCCAACAGACATATTCTTATAGGAGGAGCCTAAAAAGGAAAAGTGTGAATATAATTATATAGCTTTTTAAAAGAGAAGGTTTTGATCAATAAGATTATTGAATAAATATTTCTAGGAAAATCCTTTTTGAGAAACTTGAGAAACCTCAGGTAGAAGATCCATATTTTCAAAGATATTATTTACTAATAGTAAATACTTCAGCATGAATAACTGAATTATATACAGAAAGTATGTTGTATGACAGCTGTTCTACTCAGATGTTGCACTCATATTTCTGCACATTCCAAAGCATCTCTTTGGAATCAAACCTGTAGAATTGCATAGCCTTAGCAGTTAAAAAAGCAACAAATAAGTAAGCAACCCAGCTATATTATGTGGAAATACCTAGCTAACTTTGGATGATCTCAAAAAGCTAAGCAGGGGCTGATGAAGTTAATCATTAGATGAGAGACCATCCAAAATTTCCAGACTCAAAACTGTGAAATTGAAAATAGATCCCCAAAGATGGTAACGGTAAACAATTTTTATAAGAAAACTACATGGATGTGTCTCAAAGAAGACTTTTCCTAACTTACCAAATGAAAATATGGTCTGTATTTTAAAGGAAGGATGGAACCTGTTATCTATCAAATATTGTAAGATTACAATCCCTGGCATTACCAATCATGCTAGCGAGGAGTGCTTGGAATTGGAATTCAACATTGGTTTTATTGATATACTGAACTGTTATTCATTTTAAGTAATACAGAGGTGGAAGTATAGTATAATGAGCCTCAGAGCCATCTTCAAAGAAAGAAGACAATGAAACCTCCATTTAACTAGGCTTGATTTGCGACTTGTCTCTAGAAGTTGTGAATGCTCCAACACTGGAAGTTTTTAAGACGAGATTGGACGACCATTTGTCTGAAATAGTATCGGATTTCCTGCCTGAACAGAGGGTTGGACTAAAAGACCTCCAAGGTCACTTTCAACTCTGTTATTCTGATATTAATACATGGACTGACATCTTTTCTTTCTCTGGTCATCAGAACCAACAGTATCTTGTAACTTGCACTTCTGCAGAGTTCTCAACCTTCTCTTGCTCAGAAATAACCTCTAATTCAAACACATACATTAATATTCAGACTCAAGTAAAACTTATCAGTTGGTTCTACTGAAGAGGAAAGGAGCACAGGTCTCAGAATGTTTTGCCAGAAAGACGATGCCCCAATAGTTTGTGGAGGACAGTAAGTCTGATGTATCCTCTTCACGCCAAGATTTTGCTTTGCAGTAGAGCAGCTGTCCTTTATTAAGGCAAATTTAATTCAGCAGCAATTCATAAATGAGATTGCAATATTCCCCAGATGCTCTGAATGGAAGCTGCTTTTGCACATAACAAATCAGTCCAGAAAAATCTTAAGCTGAACCAACTTTTGCTACATGCCAACTTTGGATTCATAGTGGAGGAATCTAATATGTCATGCGGAGACCTGAATATCATCACCATTGCCATTCTGTTAAAATATCACATGTAACCATAGATAAACACAGATGCCCACATGGAGGTACATGTTTGAAAAATATTGGAACCTCAATCAGTGTTAATTTATATAGCTCATAAATGTAAGATCTGCATACTTTTAATGGCTCATTGTGAGAAACATACTCCTCAGGATTTTCTAGAAATTTATCTCTGTTTTCTGGAGTTGAAAAATAATAGTATTTTTCTCGATATTTAGCTGCATTTTCAGAAATCCCTGGGTAAAGGATAAAGTTTTCCTTCAGAATCACTGGACAGAAATGCTTTGTATCTCCCATGTGTCTCTTCCTCTCAGCAACTTTTTCTTCATCCTTAAAACAGCAAAATATTTCTGATAAGATTATTTACATTAACACTTTAAAGAATCTGGATTTACTCTAACACACTGGCACAGATCTTGATAATTTAGAGGGTAGGAAGCAGCTGCAGATCCATTCTATACTCAGTAAAGGTGTTGAACAAGGAATGAGGAATCCAACTTCAATTCTACCCACAGCCATGACAACCTAGGGGGTAACTTTGCTCAATCACTCTGTCTTTTCAGCCCCGCCTCTCTCATAGGGTAGTTGTTGGGGGATAAAATAAAGGGAAATCCAGATATAAGCTGCCTAGATCTAAGATTAGATTTAAATCTAATGAACAAATAAAACTTCCATTGCTTAGGACATAACCAGTCTGATAGGGGATAAGGAAGTGGGAGAAAGAGGTAATGAGCAGGAGCCATGTGTTCAGAAAGACTCCCATGTGTCTAGAATGGGGGTCTCCAACCCTGGGTCCATGGACCAGCACCAGGTCGCAACATGACAGAAACCAGTCCCCGCAAACAAGTAAAGCTCCATCCACGGGATGCAGGCAGTATACAAAACCACGTCCCCTCTGGTCTGCAGGAAAACCTTTCTCCATGGAATCATTCCTTGGTGCCCAGAAGGTTGGGCGCCTCTGTTCTAGAAAGAGTCCAAAAGGTTTGTTTGTGACAGTTCCACCCCATCCAGCTAAGTTCCCAGAGGTCCCAAACCCAAGCCTACTCAGTCTTGCTAGGTTGAGCTGAAGCTGTTGTTCCCCGCCCAAACTTCCACAGCTTCCAGATACCAAGACAAAACATCAGCAGCCTTAGGGGGAAGATATCCATTGCCATGTTTAACATCTATGTTAAACAGGAACAGAGAGAGTACTGTACTGAGCACTGCAGGACTCCACAAAGTAGGGGTTATGGATAGACTTCTTTAGCCACCATGTTTGCATTTATGCAAAAATATAACTGCTTTTGGTTCATATGCAAACACTTCAGCTTCTTTAAGTTATACTCTTTCTATAAAGATGAAGTTATATAAATGGTTATCTTGCATATCATGTCATTCAGTAAATTACAGTGTAAAATAATCTATTGAGTTGAGAGCTAGAGCTTACTTCTTCCTCTTCTTCCTCTTCTTCATCACCCTCTTCTTCTTCTTCTGCCTGAGCCTCTGCTTCAACCTGCAAATCTTCTTGTTCTTCATCCTCATCTTCAGGAGATAATTCCCAACCATGATATTTAAAAGGTTCTGTCAGAGATAGTCAATTTTCAGATTTTATTTTTTTCAAAAAATACTGTACATGCAGGATCAGAGATAAAATATGAATATGCATGGAATTCTATATGATACTGAAATTCTTCAAGCCACAGATTGATCAGATTATATTCTGGTATTCCAGAAATTTATTAATTAAAATTAACCATCATGAAAAGTTGGTAGAGCATGCTAAAAACTAGAGTTCTAACATATCAGATTAGTGTGTAAGTGTACAAATACAGGATTGCTGAAATCAGTGGGTTATAAGGAATATCTTTATGCGTATAGCTATGTGCTCCTAACCACAGTGATGCTATAATGAAAAATATATATTGTGATATGATATGTCCCATCCTTTTACAGGTATGTAAGAGACAATCTTCTATCAATTGTCAGCACCACCCATTGAACTTCCATATTCTTGTGCATTAGATGTCAGCCTTTATAGGACATGAATCCTTAGAATTAAAATAAAAAGCTCACAGAAATATATATTCAGGAAATGAAGGTTCATGATATTATTCATCTAATACAGGGGTCTAATCCACGCTGGCTGAGGAATTCTGGGAGTTGAAGTCCACAAGTCATAGAAGGGCCAAGTTTGAAGACCCCTGATCTAATACAAGCACAAAGTTTATTATGAATCCATATTGTGCAGAATAAAAGCAGTGCTGATAGTTTATATTTATCATCATTATAAATCATGAAATATCTGAACCAGAACCTTCTGTTAAAAAATTACTACCCCCAATTCAATATGTTTAGCTATGAACTGATTCCCTCTGCCCTTCTAATATATCCCATATTCCTGTATACACCAATTTCTTTATGTCAAAATATGTAAGTCATTGCCATAAAGTATAGCAATATTTTAACTACTAATTCTGATAACTTTAAACATTCAGAAGAATGGATCTATTAATAACTATGATCTCTGACATTTAAACAGATAATAATTATTAATGGTTGGTTGCACAGTCGGCCAGATATTTAGATTGGATTTGGCATTTTTATCAACCTATCGAGTCCTTCCCAAAGACCTGTTTGATGATGTTATTACTATTAAACTTGTATGCAGCCCAAATCTCATGAGTCTGGGCGGCTCATAACATTCAAAAAAAGAAATTACAATAATATCAATAAAACATAAAAATAAAGATAAGCTATGGTAAATGTGATGAAGTGAGGAGTCTAACTCTCCCTCACCAACGTCCTGGGTAATGAGTTAAGATCTTCACAGTTTTTCTAAATAACAACAGAGTGGGATCAATCGGATATTGGGGGTAACCTCATTCCAGAGGCCACCACTGCTATAAAGAAGGTGCACGTCCAGAGCCCTTAGAGAGGACATTGTTTAATCAGAGCACATCAACCCAGCAGGATCGAATTGACTGGGCCAATGTTATGTGAGACAGGTGGCCCCTCAGTTAACCAGGCTCTATGCCACGTAGGACCTTATAGGTAACAAACAGGATCCTGAATTACACCTGGAACTAAATCAGCAATCAGTACAACTTGTGAAGCAGAGTTCTTACATGGGCATAATGAGGCATGCCCATCGCTGCTCACCCCATCACATTCTGGACCAGTTGAAGCTTCTGAGTTGTCTTTAAGGCAGCTCCATGTAGAGAGCATTGCAATTGTCAAGCCAAGAAATAACTAGGGCTTAAGTGGCTTTCTGAAGGCCCCTTGATTCAGGAAGAATGCATCTGGTGCATCAGATGGAGGTGTGCAATGTTCTGTCTACAGTGGACACTTACTCTTTAAGCAGAAACTGGGAGCCCCTATTCATATTCACAAACAGTACTTGATCCTAAGAGACAATTCAGCAGGAAAAGCCATCATATTTGAAAAGTAGATCCCATTTCCTTCATTTGTTCTCTTCAAATAGACTATTAATGGAATCATCTGATTTTCCAGAAGAAAAAATTAAGTCCTGTTTTGTTCATTTATCTCTAGATGAAGCCACCCAACTTCTGATGTCAACATTGCCTTCAATTTCAGAATAAAATGGCAAGAGCATTTCCTTCTATTCTCCTGCTGGCAGTCCATTTTTTTAATTTTTTTAAAAAAATGTTCTATTTTAATATTTGAATACTTTTTCAAATATGAGTAAAAGAAGTCATGTTGATTATTCAGGATACTGCATTCATATTAAAACAGACTTTATATAAATTAAAGATTTATAAAATTTTAAATATTAACTTCAAATAATTTCTCTTGCTGTTATTGTTTATTTTCCAAGTAGACATACAGTACTATGTTGGCCACAATTATAAGGTGTTATTTGCTTGTTCAGAAGTAGCTCATAATTTGTACAGGCTTGTTTTAGCCAACTTTATTTATAATTTGAAGAAATTGTTAATAAAACAAAACCAAAAGCCACCCCAAATCTCCCGAGGAAGAAATAATTTTGAAACAACAGTGGATGTGAATTACTTACGTTGCATAGCTTGCATAATCTTATTAAGCAGCATTTCTGGAGTCTGGCCATCAATCTCCAATTCAGTAATCTGAACCAAAGGTGATTCTGCAACATGTGACTCCAATTTTTGCCAGTTATTCTGGAACTGGCTGACCTTGTTTTTAAATGGATCCATTTCTACTACATCTGGAAAACCATCTTCAGGATACTCAGGCATTGTGACTCCTAAACAAATCAAGTTGCATCTTAGGAAACAATTATGTATTAACAATTAGACGGTCTCTTATGTGTTCTGGCAGGACTTTCTTCTTGATACTCTGTCCAGTTCTTATGGAGCTACAATGGAAGACTTCACAAGAAGGAGGACCAACAAACTAAATAGACCCAGAGGACTTCTGCAGAAGTTCAGAAATCTGAAAGCGGGAGGGAGAAATACTTAACAAAGGAAATTCCTCTAACAGCTCAATGAAGAATAGGTGTGCTCATGAAACTATTGAGGGAACAATGAAAAATTGGATGGAGGGAGGATGACGTATTCTAAGGAGGAAATAACAGCAACATTAAATTGGGACAAGGCACACAACAAATGTTTGTTTCAACTATACATTTTTAAGAAAAAGAATTGGAATGATTATACAAAGCCATTCATTGTGGGTTATTCAATGCAGACCATCCCTTGGCAGGATGAGTGACCCGGTCAACCTCTAACCTAGTTCAGATGCAATACTTTTCAGGTATTCATATTGTGATACAGATTTTTCTTCACTTTCAAGGGGTTCTGTTGATTCTGTGGAGATTAAGAGAGAATCATTATTATTTAATTTGGATATTTTTTTTTAAACATTAAGAACTTTCAAAATATTTAGAAAGTAGCACTTTTGAATTGCTAATTAAAAATTAGCATAGTTTTCACTTTGTAGGCTTTGCTTCTGAAAGTTTATCAGATTAAGTTACCATAGTAAAAAGGCTTTCTATAAAGAAAAACTAACAAATATATTAATTAGATGGTGACAAAGAATGAAATGTAAATGATAATATTTAATAAAGGATACATTAATGATAATGATGATGTTGATAGATTTATAAGGCCATCAAATCACAGGTGCTCTTTCTATTTTTATATTAAAAATGCAGTGAAAACAATAAAAACTCTAACAGTGACATAGGATTAAAGGAGTAAAAGTAGTTGTCGCCTATAATGAACTATTACTAATATATATATTTACATACATACATAAAATCTAACCTGTTTTAGATTCTTCATGTTCTTTGGAGTCTGTAGAAGCCTGTGCTTCATCACTCTGATCTGCAAACTGCACTGTTTCTGTACACAGATATATAAAAACACTGAGGTTTCTTATTAAGTGGATTTCACGTAACCCATATAATCACAGTAAAGCTAAAAAATATGCTAAGAAACCATAAAGTTATAGAGCTGAAGATTATTAAAATAAACTTATTCAATAAAAGTTAATGTAAACTGTACGAATAAGAGAGATGGGCTAATTGTGTAATTATTTGTGATGTATAATTTCTGTGATGCAAATTCGATTTGAACTTCAATAACTGGTTATAGAAGGGGTAAACCAATTTTCAGGGTCTATCTTTCCATTAAGTAACAAAAAAATTATTTATACATCATTATAGAAAAATTATTAATATATCATTGGAGAGTAATTATGTCACTATTATAATATTTGTAAGATGTAATTTCTGTGAAATTTTAATTTCTTTGCCATCATTCTATCCAATACATACTTAAGTTGTGTCCGTGGGATGTTTACAGGCCAAATATGGCTCTCAGCAGGAATAACTTGCATATTTGTGTTAGTCTGCTCATATGATTCAAATGCCATCTTAGTTCAGTCAGTGCAGAAATGGGTGTTTCCAACGAGAATTATACTGTAAGAATCTCTTAGCAGACAGAATAATACTATTTGTAGCAAAAACATTGTCAAAGAAATTGGAAAAAGAAGACATGGTAAGAAAAATACTTTGCTGCCCTTAACTTTTCTATAGCAAAGTTTTAGACACAGTAATGTAATAAAACAACTTGATGTTTGTCAGAAGAAAAAAGATAATTAAAATATCACACAGATATCCTAACCTCCAGACATTTCTTTCTGTTTAGATTCAGAAGAATAAGCTTGTCCTGGTTGGCCTCTTTCAACTCCAAAGCTATCTTCCAGAAACTCTGTAGATCCTATAAATACAAGAAAAACATTTCTTTGGGAACATTTATAAAGCAATTTTGGAACTCTAGGCGGGACTTTACTGTACTATAAACAATACAAACAGTTTAGAAAGTCAACAGACAACCCAAAATTGGATTCCAATTTAAGCTTTCGAATAGCATATAATACAATCAGACAAGAATACTGAAATTACAAATAAAGCTAAAATGACAGATTCCACAGTTTAGAGTTATAAGGAGTACTTGAATATCAACCAAAAGTCATCCATTTTCAGAACTTGGAATAATTGCTTGGGTTAACCATTAGAAACCGATGGCTTCATATCTATGAAATTTATTTCCTGATATTGCTATGAGGCCCAAGCCATTCATTTGCTTAATTTCTCCTAATACCCTTATGATATGCAACAGCTGCCTTCCAGTTCCACTTTTATGTTTTGGTGCATCCTATTCATATACTGTATAAGTATGATGAATAATAGGAACAGAGTCATGCCCCAGATTTAAATTCTTCCTTGTTAATAATGCTTTTAAGTATAATCAGGGCTTTTTTTGTCCAGCACCTTTTTTGGATGGAACCTTGTAGAGTAGGCCAGGCGGGTTGTATGATGTGTGTGAGTTCCGGCACCTTTTTTTTTTATAAAAAAAGCACTGAGTATAACAATATGATTAATATGCACAAAATTAACTTCATTGCTGTAATAATTCTAAATACACAACTATATTTCTTACCTCTGTCCTCAGCAGATTCCTCAGCTTGCAGTTTTAACATTTCTTGCAGTTCTCTTCTGCAATTAGAAGTTCATGCAATTTATTATTTATTTAGTATAAGATGAGGACATGACAGAAGAGAAACACACACACACACACACACTCCATGTAATTATAAGTAAATCTTCTATGGGGTATGGCAGTGGCCTCATAACTGGATGTCCACCCAGGCAATTGCTTCTGATGTTGCTTCATTTGGATCTTCTGGGGAACCAGAGAACACACATAGTGGACAATCTTGCACAATATGTTCAATAGCTTGCATATCAGCACCACAATCGCAACAAGGGATTCTTACCATTCCCCACTGACACAGGGCAGAGGCAATTCTTCCAATATTACACCCAATTCTGTTCAATTTCAACCAGACAAAGCTAGTCAAGTCAAAAGCAGGTGGTTTGTTAGAAGGATCAGTATTGGTAAGGCCACAGGAAGGTACCTTGGACCATTCCTCTCCAGATGTTAATTGAATAGCTGTTTTCCAAGCTGATCTATGGGATTTCAATCTTGTGACAAGCTGTGAATTGCCCTGGTGAATAGGGAGGGACTTGTAGTTCAGCATCCTTGACCATAGCCGAATGAGAGCTTATCGTCTTCTAATGTTGGGTGGTATAATATTGCTAAGTACTGATAACCAGTATACTGGAATGGGATGCAACGTGCCAGAGATGAAACGCATTGCCTGAGTTGATGTTGACTATTTGGGTGTGGGCGCTCTTAAGCCACACTCTGGTACAATATTCAGCTGTGGAATAAACTAATGCTAAGGCTATTATTTGAAGGGGGTTAGCATCAGCATCCCAGGATGTACCAGCCAATCTGTTCAGTAAATTGTTGTGGCTTTTCAATTTTGCAGCTGTTTTTTCCAGGTGTTGCTGGAAGGTCAATGAGCTGCCCAGTGTCACTCCCAGGTATTTCGGAGAGTTATTACATTGTAAAATATAGTTCTAGAACTTCACTGAAGGCTGGTATTTTGCTTACCTATTGCTGAGGTGGAATGTGGCTACTTCTATTTTTGTTAGTTTTGTTAGGCTTGGCTGGAGGGACCATTTTTTGGAATAGAATTCAAACAATTTAAATGATAATATAACATGAATGAAAATGAACTGCAATCTTCCTGAATATGAATTATTCTAAAAAATTCCATATTGGTCTGCCCATAGTCAGTCTAACAGGTTATACACATTTCAGTAAAAAAATATCTAGCTAAATCTGTACTGGTCTACTTAGCAATCAGTTTATTCTCTGTAAAGGAAAGCCATGGCACCAAAGAATATCAGGGTTTGGGGTTTTCTTTTTACATAGACCAATCTTCTTTGCAGTTCATTTTAATTAAATCTTTCTCTCCCTCCTCCCTTCTCCAAATACTTGCTTTGCTTCTTCTTCCTCGTGTTTCTTTTTCAAAGCATCGTCTATTAGCCTTTGTATAATATTAGCATCAATTTCTTCTTTATGTGCTTGGTACAGTCTATGCAGTACCAACTGTCCTGCAATATAAAAGAAAACAATAAAACAGAAAAGGGCTGTGTACCACATTTCAGAAAATATATAATTAAAAAAAGAGATATTGTTGATCCCAGTAATAATGCTTAACTGCATAATGCTCCCAATAATAACAATTAACTGTATTAGACAGCATTCTTTAGGCAATTGCTTTAAATATCTTAAGGCAGGTGTTCCCAACCAGGGGTGCGAGACGATATTCCAGGGGGTGCAAAAACTTTCAAAATTATAGTGTATATGCATAATTCGTTACTGTTATTTTGAACTTTTGTAAGGGGTGTGAGAATATATCAGAATTGTTCTAGAGGTGCAGGGATAGAAAAGGTTGGGAACCATTGTCTTAAGAAATCAAATGTCTTTCAATAGCTAAATAAATTTAGTTGAGTAGTTGAAGGAAATAAATAGTATATAATTATTTATGCCGCATTTTAATGAATGTATGCATTAATAAAGGAATTAAATTGGTGGTAAAGTAGGCTACAATAATGGTAAGATTAATGTGTAAATTCTCCATGTGCAGTTCTTTTCTATGTTATTTGCAAGTTAAAATTGAAAAATCTCTAAAGCAGGAATTGAATCTCCAGTTATGGTTAGGCTTCAGGTTTCCTAACTTCTGATTGGTGATACTGGATGAGGCTGATGGGAACTGGAATCTAACAACAGCATTCACATTTTTAGAGTTTGAATTCTACAGCTGGGAAAAAGAACATGTTGAAAACTTACTACTTTAGTTATGATGATTATTCCTTAAGTGATATTCATTTTATATATCGATGTCTAAATATTCACTAACCATTTTGTTCAAAATTCTTCAAACAAATTACAATATCAGGTAGGATTCCTTTTTCTAACAAAGCACTCCAGTGTTCTGTCAATGGAGGAAAATTATCCACTATCCATCCTCCTTTACTTGCAGCTCCTGGATATCTTCTTTGATTTGTCTTCTGTAGCTGAAATAAGAGTGCAATTAGCATATTAAATGGTTGAACATGCAGAATGACAAGTGCATTATTTAGAATAAAGACACATTTTTGAGTTCAGTTAACTGGCTTACATGATTTTTTCCTCAGCAATAGAATTTTCATCAAATATTCCAACAAGCTAATTCATTAAAAAGAATGTTACATATCAGAGAGAGACAGTTACAAAGTTATGACAATCTGCACTTGCTAGATCAAATCTTTTCCTTGAAAGACTCGTTTTTTGTTCAGATGTTACATATAATTCAGATAACAGAATAACGGAATAGGTTTTCTAGTCCAACTCCCTGTTCAGGCAGGAAACTCTATATCATTTCAGACAAATGGTTGTCCAGACTCTTCTTAAAAACTTAGTGTTGGATCAGAAGTTGTGAATGCTCCAACACTGCAAGTTTTAAAAAAGAGATTGGACAACCATTTGTGTGAACTGGTATAGGATTCCCTGCCTGCAGGGGATTGGACTAGAACAGTGGTCCCTAACCTTTGTGGCTTGGCGGCCCCATTGGGGGGGGGAGAGGGGAACCAGGCCACACGAGCAGAGGGCCAGTAAGCATGCACAGGTGGTTCCACTCTTGTAAGTAGCAGGCTAGCATGCATTTGCGTGTGCGTCGGTCCGCTGTTCACATGAGTGGAGCTGTGCATGTGCATATATGCAGCCTGGTTCTGAATAGGCCACAGCCTCGGGTTGGACTAGAAGACTTCCAAGGTCCCTTCCAATCTGTTATTCTGTCAAATGATTATTAAATTGTTGTAGCCCTATGTTTTTCACGGGACTGTTCCAAGGAGATTTTTAGAGTTTACTGGCTTTGCAGTACCTAGCCCCCCTCCTTTTTTTGCTTTCTGATTATTAAAACTGGAACATTTAAATAAATGGCCTTTTCATTTTTCTTTGGATGATTCTTCTTAAATTAACCTAACATCAAGTATTCTTCTTGCACTGGGAATAGAAGAAGCAGAAATCCAGAGTGGGCAATTAATAGTGAAATCCTAAATCGGTTTATTCAAGAATAATCTTTGTCATGTTTATTGAGGTTTACTTGCACAAGACTCTCGTCATCACTCTGCCTATGGGAATCATTCCAAAGCATTAAAATAGATATGGCTTACAAGACAAATCTTTTAACTCATAGAAATATAACATTTCATGTGAATATTATATTTTTGTAAATAAAGATTAAAAAAACATTGGTAAATAATACAGCATTATGTTGAATTCTGCATGGAACACTGAATGACTCCTATGTTCGAAGTTTGGAACACTCAAAACATTTCATATTTCCGGCCAACAATACTTTTATGAGCTGCAAAAGGAATGCCTGTAGATCTACAACATCCACATAGATTTTATTCTTTGGGGGCAATTGTACATTAAGGAAGTGATATTTGGAGACCAGCATAACTGGAAACACTGGAATGAGAATTACATTCATTTCAGAAAGTGCTGCAAATGAAAAGCAGATTTCACAGAGATCTTAAAACACAAAGTAGGCAGTAAATACATCATATTTACAATAAAAATTGCAGATCCCTAATATACCACAGTGATAACAAGACATTTCCACATTTTTCTATTAGAAATTTTGTTTAGAAATTGTTCAATCTTGTCTGAGTCTTGGAGACTGCCTGGACAAGTCCCCACAGTTTCCTTGGCAAGGTTTTTCAAAAAATGGTTTGCCACTGCCTCTTTCCTAGGACCAAGAGAAAGTGATTGGACTAAGGTTATCCAGCTATCTTTATTCCTATGGCATGATTATACAACACAGTCTCCTGGATTTTGCTTTATGCTTTTAGCCACTATACTAACCTGGTTCTCTTTAGCAGTCCTAGAAAAGTCTAAAAAAATTTAATAGCAGCATTCTTCTATATTAGCAAACAACAACAACAACCCCTCCTTTCTAAGAAAAGAACATTACAAAATTCAAAATGTCTTTGGGAGATAAAATATATAATACATAAAATGAAAGGAGCATTCTAAAAACGAGTAATGGGGAACAAATAAATAAAGAATTTTTAAAGGATATTCTCAGACTATGAGAAAGCATTAGCTCGGGGCATGTTAACAGCTCTAATTTTTTTAATGGCATATCCTAGATTGATAGATTGTATGCCATAATGAAAATTATTCTTTGTATGCAAACAGTAGTAATTAGGTTTAAACTAATCTGTATTCTTCCTTATAATGTTCCGAATTGTAATATTCCAATTGGTAGTGGTTTATATAATTTCAAATACATTAAATAATATCTCAGTTAGAGAGAGAAAAATCTTTCTATTGTGCATGCCTTTCATTTGATACTGGTGCTTTTACCTCTTCAATAGTTTCTTCTAATACTTCCACATAGGTTTCTGGCGGCAGAGTTATTGGAGACAGCATTGCAGCTTCTATAGCGCTCTGGACCACCTCTTGGATATCTGGATGGTCGAGAGGGATCTCCGACTCTGTTTGTGCTGTTGAGATGTCGGCTTATTATATAGGAAAAAAAAAATCCATGCGTAAGTATCCCAAAATGTAGTGAACTCTATAAAAAAATCCTGTTAATATTACTCTGCGGAATGGAAGCTTTCATTAATGGAATAGAAAGTTCCTCCTTTCCAAGTCTGAACTGAAGGATTGTATGAACTTCTGAATAAATTTGATGGGAGCAAGGAGAAGAGAAAAAAAGGGAAAACGCCATTGCTTGAGAAAAATTCTACTCATACAATGTTTGACGCTATCCTATATGTTCTTTTGGACAGGTTTTTTTTTTTTCCAAAAAATACAGCACTGGGTTTTTTTTATGGGTTGAAAAACGTATTACAAACTATAGATTTCATATTTAAGAAAGCATAGAAACCTAGCTTGTTAGTGAAAAGGAACCTGGCCCAAAACAAGAACATGTCTGTCTTCTCCTATTACTCATGATACCAAGTGTTGAAGAGAAATATTTAGGGAGAAAAGCATGGGGGGAAAAAAATCTCATTGTGGATTGCATACTAGTAGCAAAAGGAGCTGATATTACTTGCCATCCTATTTTTCCAGCCAGGGAGGATAATAAAAATTCTGATCCAGGAAGAAACAAAGAGTCTCCTTATGTTGAGGGAAGGAGAAAGTTTGACTCTTCCATTAATTTACACAGTGAACAAGTAGAAATTCCTGGGCTAGTGGTATTTCCTGGGCAAGCACTACATCAAATCATGCCCAAATCACATAATTAGGTAACTGATAGTGAAAGATGCCCATCTCCATTGCTCTCAATATCATATTAATATTTGGATTAACTGAGCAAATACCCTGTAAACCATTATTAATATTCTTCAGCTACAGCAAATAGTACTTCTGCTACAAATATTTATTATTAATGCTGCTTACTTTGGCTTTTTAAGGTAGGCCAAGTCAGAAAGCAGACTCCACAACCTTAACTCTATTTTGTTATAGGAGACGGAGGGAGAGGGAGAGAGAAAGCCAGGAGCTTGAAAGTCCAGTTGAATTATCCCCTCCTGCCCTCTTATATTCTAGTGAATTAGGGCAATCTGAGCTTATTTCTTAAATTTTACATTGTTTTTTTTGTTCACATAACCATCATTATCTCTGCCTAATTTCCACATGCTATCTGTAATACCTATTTGTTCTGCCGATTGGGATGAAGACATTTCTTCAGTCTCATCTTCTTCTTTTATTGTACTACTTTGCTTTATGATACTGCCCTCTAGATCAAGTATTAAGAGAAATAAAATACATTGAGTTATGCAGACAATGTCTTTCTGTGTACTCACATGGCTGGTTCACATAGTATTCTAAATCAGAACATGGTTTCTTTGATTTTGCTTAGACTGATGAGCACATCCTGCCATTGAAAAGAATTTATTTGGATTGATACCAACACAATAAAGAATGCTTATGCCAAGTGCTAGGCTGCATTAAGAGAGGGATAGAATCAAGATCTGAAGTATTAATACCACTTTACAATGCCTTGGTAAGGCCACACTTGGAATACTGCATCCAGTTTTGGTCACCACGATGTAAAAAATATGCTGAGACTCTAGAAAGAGTGCAGAGAAGAGCAACAAAGATGATTAGGGGACTGGAACATATAAGGAATGGTTGCTGGAATTGGGTATGTCTATTTTAACAAAGAGAAGGACGAGGGGGGACATGATAGCAGTGTTCTAATATCTCAGGGGCTGCCACAAAGAAGAGGGAGTCAAGCTATTTTCCAAAGCGCCTGAAGCAGGACAAGAAGCAACGGGTGGAAACTAACCAAAGAGAGAAGCTACCTAGAACTAAGGAGAAACTTCCTGACAGTTAGAACAATTAACCAGTGGAACAACCTGTCTCCAGAAGTGGTGAATGCTCCAACACTGGAAGTTTTTAAGAAGAAACTGGACAGCCATTTGTCCAAAATGTTATAGGGTTTCCTGCCTGAGCAGGGGGTTGGACTAGATGACCTCCAAGGTACCTTCCAACATTATTATTATTATTATTATTATTATTATTATTATTATTATTATTATTATTATTATTATTAATATTATAGTCTGCATGGTGTAAAAACAGGCTCCAGCTCTATTTGATTATCCTGTTGTAATTAAAAACCACACTGATGGATCTTTAAAATTTGGTGTGCAGGAGCAAAGCTTAATAATCGTTATTGCAGGACATAGAAAGTGGAACTTCAAGTTTTCCCTTTCTGATTATGATATCATTATCGTTTTTAGCTAACAAAAGTTTAAGGAATGTTGACTTACACCGCAATCCAATATGTAATTACCCAGAAGTCAGTATCATTGAATTCAGTGGAATTTAATCCTAGAATATTGGAATAGGATTGCAGATTTAAATTTATGTCTGGTTGCTTGAACCAGTTGGGCATAATCATGAATCATAAAATACAGTATAGCATATGCAATTGTGTTCTCAAAATGGACTTGCATGAATATCAGATATGCTTTCAAATTCCAGATAAAATAAAAATAATTTGTTTGTTATCTATTGTATCTTATTTACTGTTACTTCATAATTATGACTATCCTCCTTTGATATAAGCTAAAATAATTAAAAGATTAAGAAATAAAGCATGGCACATATTTCTCCTTCTTTCATATACTAGAGCAGACATGTCAAACTTGCGATGTCACGTGACGTTGCACGATGCATTGGAACTTTTTCCCCATTGCCGACAATGGGGTGGGCGTGGTTTCCTTGTGATGCGTTCGGCCCGTGGGCTGGCCGCTTGACACCCCTGTGCTAGTGGAAAATACTGAGCAAGTGAAAAAACACTTTATCTGTAGTTTATTTAAATTTCAATTAAATGAGACCAAACCAACAATAAATCATAGTTTCAGGACTTGGATGATTTTAATAAATAACTCCCTAGCCTCTAGTATCACAGAGCAGGAGTAAAAGTGAAAACAAAAGATTCCCTTCTTCATATTATTTTCAAATAAATAAGGGAAGGAAGAATGAAAAGTCTGAACTTTGTTGCTGTTATTTCATATAGCAGTAAATTATGGTCTCCTATTATTTTTTAATTAGATCAATAAATAATTCATTACTGGACTTAAAATCTCAACTTTAAGATTGGGACCATATAGATTTACAAAATTCCATTTACAAAAACTAAATGCACAAATAATGCTTCTGTATCAGAAAAAAAGATTCTGTCCTGTTTGTTTGATCAGTTCATTTTGAATATGCAGGCAGATTGTTTTATAAATGAAAATATTCACCCCTACCCACCTCCCAATCACATTATAGCAATGGAGAAATAATGCCAGGTTTATATGCATATCAAAACAAAATGTATCACAAGTTTTCTGACAACCTAAATAACTGGATTCCAAGGATGGGGCTCACTTTACTATGTAGGGAGGGCTCTGATGGTATATCCTATTCTTCTATAGAATGTATAAAAACACGAATCCTTAGATTACCTTTTGCGCTACTAATTGTTGACACACTAGGCAGCACTGAACTTTTTTCCTCTGTGGAAATGTCCTCTTCCTCATTTTCCAGTTCCTTTTCACCAAACTCTTGGGCAAACAGTTCAGCTATAAAAAATAACATAATTAACATGAAGTACTTCTGTTAGGAATTCAGACAATTTCAAAAGGTCTTAATATTCATGATGGGCATATAACAAATTACATTTGTTAATTGATAAGGTATTGGTAACCTGCATCTGCATAATAAACTTACCTTCCACACCTCCATTTCACCCAATTTAAATCTAGCTGCTCTATGAATCTGATGACATGAATTGCAGCTTGTGAAATCTTATACCTTTTAATAACATTGTCAGCTGGAAAATGTGCTGGCAGACACTTTTAATTTTTTTACTAGTTGAGATTGCAGTTGTTTCAGTTGCTGAACACAAACAATGGAAAGGAAATGTCCACGATTTGGAAGTGATACAAACCCTATGTGGAAATGTTCCTGGTTTAATCAATTTATGAAGTTTATGAACCTGCCATCCTAGCCTTACAAGATCGCTGCTCAATCTCTCCTCTAAAAGAAGATTAGTGAAGATTATTTTTGGTTCCAACAGAAGAGAATATATGTAGAGCAGGAGTCCCCAACCGTCGAGCTGTGGCCCACTACTGGACTTTGGCCAATTCAAAACCGGGCCGCAGAAGCAGTGGGTGAGCGTGCATGTGCATGCAGCTCCATTTGCATGTGCAGGGGGTATGTGTGTACAACTCCATCTTTGCAAGTGGTAGGTATATGTGCCCACCATTTGCACAAATGGAACTGTGTGTGTGCTCGCCCTCTGTTTGCGCGAAACCATCTTCTCTTTCCCCTCCCTGTCAGTTTGCAAAGCTGGAAGGATTGGTGATCACTGATGTAGAGAAGAATATATGTACAGTAGGATTGTTTTGGGAGTTTAGTTAGCAATCATCTGCACTGGGTTCAAATATGTTCCAACAGAGTAAAAACTATTGGCAGAAAAACTAAGCTAAAAATTGTTTGGTAATAAAAACATGTGGATGGATGGATGGATGATGGATGGTTAGATTTTTATGCAGCCAAGCTCCAGAGAAACTCCTGGTGATCTGTATATAAAAACATTAAACAAGATTAAAACATAAAACCATAATAACCAGCTCAAAAATATATTTTTCTCAAAAATATATAAATATCGTGTATTGAAATAACATACTGTATTAATACTGAGAAGATAGAGGAACAGGTGGTCTCTGTAGCTGGTAATAATAATATATTGAAGGACTGAGCTAGTTTTATATTAGTATTTTATGGATATATTTCTTTCTTCAAATGACAATAAGTACAGTATTTTGCATATTTGTTTTGATAATTTTAGAAAATGTTATAGTTTGGATTGTGCTTCATATCTCCTCATTGTTTTATTTTACCAAGAAAATATTTAAATGCTAAAAAAACAATATCCCAATGGAAAAGAGAAAAAAATGGCCCCTTTCTTCTCACTGCTTGCAGTCAACAACTGCAGTGCTCATTCTTTCATTCAGCAAATCCTTGCAGAAGCATTTTACAGAACTTCTGAATTGAAACAAATATATCTAAACAACTGAGCCTCTTAGCTTTGACATGGAACCATCTCACCTTGTTCCCTCATTTGCTGCTCTATTTCCATTTTCTCTTTCACTCTGGCAATGCCTACCAGGATTGCTTCAGCTCGGGTCTGCTCAATGAGTTCTAGTCTTGCTTGTTCATAATGCATTTTCAGTAGAGCTTCCATGTCAAGAACCTACAGAAAACCATTGAACATGGTGTCCTAGGGATGGAGGGGCAGATACCTGCCAGTTTGTCCAGTTTCTTTCCCAAAAAACAAAGTAGCCCTAATACTGTCGCCCCCCCCTTATGTTTCATTTTCCAAATTTTATAGTGAAAATGAGTATTTCATTTTTTTAAAAAAATAAGCTTGTTATATTTGAATATAAAAACATTATAGAATATCATTTTTCCTGTATGCTTAATTTTGTGTGCACACATGCCCAGAGTCCCTTGTAAGGGCAATGGGTGGCATAAAAAATTAATAAATAAATAAATAGTATGAAAGCAGATTCCCATGTAAACTTCTTTGAACACTACAGAAAAGTTGATATAGAAACCCGATACAGAAACCTACAGTGCCACCTTTTAAGCAAGAAATTTTGAGCTGACATTTATAGGGCTCAACAGAATCAGGTGACAAAGAAATCCAAGCAAAATTTACCTGGCCTTTAATAACTGGTCTCCCAGAATAAGTGATTAGGAATGCAACTCGCAGTTTCAGTGATATGCATATTCTTTGTTGTTCTGTACCAAGCTCTTGGTTGTCAAAGTCATTGTGCTTAAGAGTCTTCTATTTAAATAAGATATTCTATAAGCAGGCCCTTTGAGATTTTAATATTAAAATGAATTTATACTCACTTTTCCCTGATAATGGTTTGCAAGCAACTCACACAGGGTTGTTTTCCCAGATAATGGAGGGCCCATTATCAGTACTTTACAAGGTGGAAGTGGCATAGGAGGCAGCAGGTAGGAACGGGGATTCAGCATGAATTGTCTCAATGCTTCTTCTGTAGAAAACAGGTACATCTTACCTAAGAAGCTACAAAGAAAGCAAAAATACAGAACTACGGCCTTAGAAAAGTGTATTTTGTATTAAGGGGTAATGAAGTTCTATTTACCTAACAGCATTGTCTGCAGTTCCCATGATAATGTCACCATCTTTTAAAGCCACAGGACACGCTCGGCCCCATTTGCTGCGATGCCATCGATGTCTAGGGCCTACAAGTTTATAGGATGCAAGCACCCGAAAAAGTTCACCCTGAGTGCCAAAATAAGGAAAACAACTGAAGCCCTTGAAAAACATATTGTCCTGAAAAGTGACAGGTTATTTTACCATCACATATTTTTCAAACATTATGTCACTAATTTTAATCATGCTGCTTAAGGTTAAAATAATTATCTGATATATAAGTGCCACTGAGGGATGACACAAAAAGTTTAAACAGAAGCTCTTATCAGAAGCTATCGTTACATTTTTAGATTTTTTTCTTAGAAATGAAATGTAGCAATATTTTATTTATACAGACAGTTTTGGTCTAGTGGTTAAGGCACTGGGCTTGAAATCGGGAGACCATGAGTTCTAGTCCTGCCTTAGAAATGAAAGCCAGCTGGGTAACTGGGCCAGTCCCTCTCTCTCAGCCCAACCTATCTCATAGGATTACTCTTGTGGGAAAAATACGAGGAGAGAGTATTAGATATGTTCACTGCCTTATTTTAAAAAATAATAAAGGCAGGATAAAATAATATAAAAACAAAGAGCACACAATAAACAATAACAATGGAGGAATGAGAAATCACAATAAACTGCTTGTCATGTGTATCTAGGGCAGTGGTTCTCAACCTTTCTAATGCCGTGACCCCATAATACAGTTCCCCATGTTGTGGTGACCCCCCAACCACTTATACATCACCGGGTGCCAGGGGCGTGGCCAAAGAAAAGGGGGAAAAATGGCAGATAGCCTTGTTTGGCGACCCCCGTGAAATGGTCATTCAACCCCAAATGGGGTCCCGACCCACAGGTTGAGAACCACTGATCTAGGGCATTCTTTGAAGTTGTGTCACTTGCTTTAAACTGCTACGAGTAAGAAAAATCTATTAACAACATTTACAGCAACTCTCTTTTTAATATGTAAGTGCGCTATTTCTACTGGCAACCAATAAGAGTACATACAAATATCACACTTACATTTTCCAGACCATCTAACATTTCTTCATCTGCACTCTGAAGCTTGGTTATAAGAGCTCCATGACGTTGGCCCATGGATTCAAGGCGGGTTATTACTGACTGAACAAAATCACATAACAGCTTGTGCATGAATTGCCAACAAATATCTTTAGTTAATATTGGATATTTGGTTTTGAAATATAAAGCCAGTTTGAAAGAGTACTTCAGTGCTATTTTTTTTACAAACAACTTGGTCAATAAAAGATAGCAGGTGGGAATCGTACTTCTCTGCAATTTCTAAAAGATTATTAATATCAATACATTAATATTATAAAACTAGTATTATCAATTGAACTGTTTTATACATATGGGATAGAGACAGAGAGCTCATTGCCAAGTTGTAGAAACTCTGTTGCCTTAAAGGAGGCAGGGTTGAAACTGGAATAAGATTGTAGAATTGACATTGAAAATAAGTGTTCATTCCTTGAAAAACATACTTACTTTAAAAAGTTCATCTGCATTCTTGTTTCCATCCAGTTCAAAAAGATACTGAGAGTCCTGTTCAGCCATTAATTCCTGAAATTTTAAAACAGAAATATGACTGAATATATAGATTGGATTGGATTTGGATCCCATGGCCTCAAATGATTGCACTGACACGTCTGGGGGGAAAATCTATGCTGCTATTTTTTGCCATACCTTTTTGATACTTTTTATTAATATATAATATTATTGTAACTGCAATATTTATTTGGCAAAGAATGTGAGGACAAACACTTCACTCATAAGTGCAATTGAACTGTCACTCCAGGAAGCTTATTTTTTAGAAAAGAAATGGTGGTGAAGCCAGACTGGTGGACTTCCAGTCAAATAATATCTTTTAACTTTGGTGATCCTATTCTTAAATATAAGGAGGAGTTAGAATCAGAAGGATGTGTCTGCCATTGGTTTGCATACTTACAATTGAAAGAAAGATTTAAAGCAGTCAAAAAGAGTTATGGGTTTGATTTTGTGAAAAACGTATTGGAAGTCCGACTGTGTGATAGTCATGAGCATATTATTGCTAAAGTTTACAAATTGTTATTGAATTTGAATTTGGAGAATGAATATATAAAGCACTGCATGATACAGTGGGCAAGGAATTTTGAATATAATGTCATGCTTGAACAATGGGAGAATATGTGGGCGAAAGTTTTAAAATTTACTTTAAATTATAACTGAAAAGAATTTTTTTATAAGATAATGTGTTGTTGGTATTTAACACCAGATAAGTTGTCAAGAATGTGTAAAGGTACTGTACTTTCCGGCGTATAAGACGACTTCCGCAAGCGTTAAACTCAGCGCCGAAGTCGGAGGTCGTCTTATAAACCAAGTCGTCTTATACGCCAGAAATTATGGTAGTTTCCGGCGTATAAGACGACTTTCTAGGCATGTGACTCGGCGCCGAAGACAGGGGTCGTCTTATATGCCGGGTCGCCTTATAGCCGGAATATACAGTATTTCAAATGAATGTTGGAAATGTAAAAGTAAAGAACGGACCTTTTATCACTTATGGTGGACATAAGTCAAAGCAAAGAAATATTGGAGTAGGATTAATAGCTTAATACAGAAAATTCTCAAAGTGAATATAAAGATAAAACCAGAAACTTTCTTTTGGATTTAATGGAAAGACCTGGAATTTTTGCGGGGAACTTTGATGCTATATATGTTGACAGCAGAAAGCAGAAATAAATATATACAAAAATGGAAGGACACTTTCATTCCCACAATGGATAAATGGCTGCAGAAGTTGATGAGAGTTAGCAGAGATGCTAAACCGAACTGCTTTGACTAAAGACAAAAATACAATTACTTTTGTTTCTATTTGGAAGCAGCTTCTGGACTTTGTGCTTGAAGTGGGAAAAAATGAAACTTTGATTTTGTGTTTTACCGATTAGTTAGGTTTGTTGTTATAGAAATGGCTAGTTTATACTATTATGTAAAAGTAAAAAGTTGAGGTTTGATGTTATGTTATTGTACTGCACCAAAGGAAGTTGGAAGTCAGCACCTTTTCTTTCTTTCCCCACTTCCCCATCACTTTCCCCTTCCCTTTTCTTTCCCCTATCTTTCCTACTATTCTCTTTTGTATTTTTGTATCTTATACTATTAACACACACATATAAACTAAATTTATTTGAGAATAACTACAATTGAACGTATGCAATTCACAGGCCAGAATTGTGTAAGTTCAAATGTACCGATGAGTAAACACAGTTTAGAATTTGACAAAGAAGAGATGTCGGGCTGGCAGAGTAACCATATTCTACCGTATCCACATTATCCATATTATATTCCTTGACTGAGGTCAATATTGAATTGACGTATCCATTCAACAACCAGTCCATGTGGCAAGCAAGACCCCTCTAGAATCAAATGTGATGGCTTGGCAAGCAACAGCTCTACAGTATGTCTCCAAACACAAGCCTCCAATACAGAACCTGTCTCCCTATTTTTTGATAAATGCACATGAACATATGAAGAGAAAAGGATTTATAAAAGATGTGAAAGGCATTTTAGAATATAATTAAATTTTTAAATATTTTATATTTTGGTTCGCATAGTACTAATTCTACAGATTAGATGAAACGATGATTACTTTCGTTCCCCTTTTTGTTTCTAAAGCAGATGCCTAAATAAGGAGTTTTGTCCCTTATATAGCAGTATCAGAGAGAAAAAGCTCTTTTTTAAATACAACAGTAATATGATTGAAAATTGAGATTACAAAGTTAAAAACCTAATACAAAATTTAAAAAATAAAAGAATAAGAAAAAATGGCAAGTGTAGAGGAGAAAACACAATATTTGGACCAAGCTATTTGAGCTGTATGTCACATTTTATGGTTTAGTATAGTCTTCTACCCATGCCCCAACTTTGCAATTTCAAACCCTCCTCTAATCTAGATTGAACAACCTGTAATGTTGTTTCCTGCTACTTTAAGGAAACCATACTTTAATCTTTCCAAAAGAGTTACGGTAATATTGTTTTGATTTTTTTTTAAATGGTATTTTTTCCCAAATCCACATACATAATACAGTCCTATCCATTCTGCAGTACTATCTCACTCAGTTTGCTCTTAATGTTTCCAAAAATATAACATTTGGCGACAATCACCAAGAGTCATTTTGGATAGTGAGGTGGGCAATATATAAATTTAATAAATAAATAAACACCATGCTTAAAGTACCTTATAAATCCAACCGTGATTTATTCAACACACTATTATTAATCAAACCATGCCTTGCTATAATATGTAAACTAGGTTTTAAAAGTTCATGGATCATAATAAGTTTAGCACAATATGCTGAAGATGAGCATTTGTGTTATCAGTATAATATAGCACCTTCTGGATTCATGAGATATCTAAGCTTACCAGCAATAATAAAGTTACAACATTGATATCTGGTATTTTTTCTTTCCTTCTTTTCTTACTTCTAGGTGTTATGGCTAAGAAGTGCAAAAGGTATTATCCTTATCTTACCTCTAGAGGACGCAGCATAATATCTTTATAGAGATCAATTCTCTTTTGTGCATTTTCCATAAAATCTTCCGGCCTTTGTACTAAAGTTGGCAAAATTTCTGTCAACATAATTTGATCAGCCTACGGGGAAGGAAATTTTTTTTTTTTAAAAAAATAAAGTGAATATATACAAAAAGCTTGCTTCTACCTCCCACTCTGAAAATATAAAATCAACAATGGTAAACATTAATTTGTATGCACAGCCAAACAAAATTAATTAGATGAAAACCATTTTTCACTGTCTAAAATGAAATTGTGGCTGGCTTAGTTATGGACTGAAATGAACCTTCAATAAAACTTTATTCCTGAACAAATATGCAATTCCACTTACTAAAATTGAAGTGATTTTGTTTTTTTTAAAATATTTTTCCTGCTGGAGTCCTGTTATAGAATTCTGAGACAGACAGATGGATAGATAGACAGACAGACAGATAAATAGATAGATGGATGGATAAGACAGAGATGTGTCATAAAACCTGCCCTGCATCACCCAAACAAGGTTGCTACTTCTGAGGGATGCTGTTCCCAATGCTAAAATTGCATTCTGCTAATCCAGGCAATTTTAACTTAGAATAGGAGGAGACACCAGCCAGTTCTTTGCTTCAGCAGGCCAGCCAAAAGCCTTAGGTCAACACTGGTCTAGGCCTTCAAAGAAAGGATTACAAATTGTTTTACTAAATTAATAGATATAAAGGATTAGTAGTATAAAGCACGGAGGGAGGCTCAGCCAGTCTTACTGTATACATGTTATACTTTGATAATAAATATTCATTCATTATATAGCTTTAATATGGTTACAAATGACTGGATTTTTTTCCCAAAAATTCAGCATGTAGAATTAGGGTATTACATAAAACTGTTATATAACCTAATTTGATTCACTTTATTAAAGAAGAATGTTGCATTGTTTAACAAATATTAAACAATCTGTTTCTGAATGATCCAAGCTTTTCTTTTATTTGGAACAAATAATTGCCTTTTTAGAAAATATGGGAAAGCTACCTCATTTGACTCTTCTTCCTCTTCTTCCTCTTCTGCTTCCTCATCCTCTTCTTCGCTTTTACGTAATTCTTTCTTCTTTTTCTTACGCTTTTCAATAATATCAGGATCCCAATCTTCTCTTTTGAATATATGTCCTGTGTCAGGCTGCTGTCTTTGACCAGTGATTCTTTGGCACAAGTCATTGTTAGGACACTAATTAAAACAGATCATTATGAGATGGAAGTTGTTTCAAATCCAATAAGATAACTTTGTAACTCTTCTTTCTAAGAGTTTAGAACAAGAGTGTTTATTGCTAACGTGCTGGTAGAGTTTCTTTTAAAACTAATAAAAGGCAGTTGGCAACTTCTACCTTTATGACAATGGGTTTAAAGGAGACAAGGACGGCTTTATGAAGTATAATTTGTAAGGGTAGGAAGCGCAGTTATGGAATAAATACAAGATTTACTAAGAACATTCAAATGCTGATTACCTTAATATTAATCAGGAAATCTGGTTTTAATTTTAAATTTTTAATTACTTCGATTTGTTCTGGTGTAGACATGAAATCCTCAGAAAGAGAAGGGAAATCACAGAGAACATAACCTGCAAGGGGGGAAATGGAAATATTTTTATACTTTAAAAAATCACACTTATCTATTTTACAGTAAATATGGGGTGACTATGGGTCTTTCCTCGTTTGTATCTAATCACAGTACAACCAATCCTTGGAAACATTTTATACTGCTGTGTCCTCATCTTTTCTTCAACCCACAAACAGCTTTAAGTTGTCTTTACCAGTATGAAAACAGTATTTTCCTCTTAGATCAGAATAAGAGAATTGGAAGGGACCTTGGAGGTCTTCTAGTCCAACCAGTAGCAGTTTCAAGGTGTGTCAAATCTGATGCATTTCAATGCCTAAGCTATTGGAAGTCCATCTGGCAAGTTGGGGCAGTAGAATCAGCCTGCACCTACCAACCCCTTGAAATAGGAATAGAATTGAATAACAGAGTTGGAAGGGACCTCTCTTTGATTAGTTTCCATCCATAGCTAAATAAATAAAGCCTTCAGGTGCTTTGGAGAATAGCTTGATTCCCTCTTCTTTGTGGCAACCCCTGAGATGTTAGAACACTGCTATCATGTCACCCCTAGTCCTTCTTTTCATTAAACTAGACATACCCAATTCCAGCAACCGTTCTTTATATGTGTTAGCCTCCAGTCCCCTAATCATCTTTGTTGCTCTTCTCTGCTCTCTTAGAGCAGAGTCTAAGAGTCTAAGAGTCTCAACATCTTTTTTTTTTTTACATCATGGTGATCAAAACTGGATGCAGTATTCCAAATGTGATCTTACTAAGGCACGTATTAACATTTCATGTGATCTTGATTCTATCCCTCTGTTAATGCAGCCTAGAACTGTGTTGGTTTTTTTTGGCAGCTGCAGCACACTGGAATGAATGCACACTCTCTCCTCTGGTCTCCACATATGCTTTATACACTTCTTCTTATTTTCCTTTCTAAAGGAAGAAGAGAGGTCTGGAGAGGTGCCCAATTCTGAAAGAGCAACAGTCTCCTGTAAAACCAGAGATCCTACACTTTTCTTCTACAACTTTAAAAACGTCCACTTTCTCCTCTAATCTCCTGGCACTCATTTTTATCAGGGTTTTTTCTTTTGTGTAATACTTAGGCTCAAAGTTAGCAAATAGCTAACACAAAAATACAACCCCACTGCCTTACAGAGCTGTCAAGAGTTGCCTGGGAATTGGGCAGCCTCTAAATCCCTCCCCCTTTCCCCCTGTTCAATCATTTGGAATTCTCAGGGACTGCCTGGACAGGTTCCTGCTATTTACTTGGAAAAGTTTTTCAGAAGTGGTTTGCAGTTTCCTCCTTGCTAGAGTTGAGAGAAAGTGACTATATGCCTAAGGTGGAACTAGAACTTAAGGTCTTCTGGATTCTAGCCTGATGCCTTAACCATTACACGATACTGGTTCTTTTTATTTCTTCTGTTAAAATTTGTCCAATTCTTGGAGATTGCCTGGATAAATCCCTGAAGTTGTCTTGGCAAGGTTTTTCAAGAAATGGCTAGCAATTGCCTCCTTCCTGGGGCTGATAGAAAGTAACTGGCCCAAGGGCATCCAGATGACTTTGTGTCCAAGCCAGGATCAGAACTCACAGTCTCCTGGTTTCTAGCCTAATGTCTTAGCCTCTACACTAAACTGGCTTTCTAAATCCCATACAATCCACAAAACAGACGGACAAATAAATAAATCACAGGTATATATTTCTAGGATTATGAGGAGCTTACTTAATAGATAGTGGGGGAAAAAAGATGCAGTAATCCATACCAAAGTGATTAATCTCTGGAGATTCCAGCTTGATCATAAGCATCTTTATCACCAACTCTTCAGGAACATTTTGACCTTGGTAAAGCAGGTCCTTACACTTAGGGAGAACAATGTAAAATATTGAATTGTATTGAGAATAAATAATAGGGGATATATAAATAATACACAAAGCTGCTTTATACTATATCAAAAAAAGTTATCCAGATGTTCTCAGTATTACTTCTTTTATATTTTGGACTACAACTCCCACAAATCTTTGCCCACCCCTCTCTCCTCTCCTCCTTTCTATTTTCTTTTATAGCACCTCCTCAAGGACACCAGATAAATTCTTCTTACAGTCTTTACTGTATATTATCTGCTGCATTTTTTTACACTGGAGATGCCAAAAAATGAACTTGTGTACAAAACATGTGGTCTGCCACTGAGCTTGGTACATTGCCCATAGTTCAAATCCAAACAAATTGCAATAATTCAAAGTTGTGAGCTGAACTGGTTTACTTAACTAACAGTGCCATTTGAAAGAATTATAAATAAGTCCAGGCTTTACCTTCAGTCCGTATTCTGTTTCAGCTGTTATGTTTTCATTTATGAGTTCAAAAGCTAAAAGGATATATCACATAGAAAAAAAAATAAAACATTGGTTTGATGGTGCTATGTGCAGGTATATATGCAGTACTGTATAATGCAAAACAGATTTTTTTTTAAATATTGAAGATCGTGCATTCCTTTTCCATAATCATCCATCTGCAGTGATGTATTTCTCTCCCTACAAAGAGATAATAAATTCTGCAAATATATAATGATCAAGAGGTGAGGAGAGAGATTAACATTGGAGATGAAAGAAAAAGATGACTCAGTTTATTTTATAACCTGGGAAAATTTTTTATCAATGGTTAGAGACACGTTAGAATCTGAAAAGGACTTAATATTTCAGAATAGATGATGGATTTTTAACCAAGTATTAATTATTAGGTTGATGACTGTTATTTTTAGTGATTTTTATCTATTAATGTTGATAGTCAGGATTTTTTGAGATTTTATTATTCATGTTTATTTAAATAGATGAACGTATTTGTTTATTAATTGTTTGTAATACGGCTATAGTTAAGCTTATTTTAAAAATGGTTGAGTATGATGTTTACTTATTATTATGATCTGGACAGTAGCTTGTTTGTTAAAATATGTGACTGTACCTATCCTTATTTTATCCTAAATCCCCTATTCCCTTTCCCCCTCCCCCTCCCTTACCATACCCGTATTGTTCCTATTTTTTCCTTAGGTATATAAACTCAATAAAATATTGTTAAAAAAAAGAGGTGAAGAGAGTAATGTTATTCTCCTTTCACACATTGATGATACATGATATCCAATGGAGGGAAGTTAGAAGGGAAAGGATAGGCAATGTTATTCAGGGCCTTTCATCGGGTTTCTTCTTTTACATGCTAACCTTTTTGATTCCTATTAAGTAAAGTTTGGAGATCTGCTTTAAATGCACATTAATTGGCCAAGAATCAAAATGGGTTCCCAAATGACTAAAACACTACTATTGTTCTTTATAATGACTCCACCACAACTGCCTGTATAGTACGGGTAGTCCTGGAAGTATGGCCACAGTTGAGCCCAAAATTTCTCTTACTAAGCAAGACATTTTGCCCCATTTTATGAACTTTTGTTGCCACAGTTAAGTGAATCACTGCAGTTGTTAAGTTAGTAACATGGCTGTTAAGCAGATCTTGCCTCCCCATTGACTTTGCTTCTCAGAAGGTTGTAACAGGGGATCACATGACCTTGGGACATTGCAACTGTCATAAATATGAGTCAGTAGCCAAACATCTGAATTTTTATCATGTCACCAGAGGGATGCTGCAACAGTCTTAAGTGTGAAAAAAGTCATAAGTCACTTTTTTTCAGTGCCGTTGTAACTTCAAATGGTCATTAAATGAACTGTTGTAACTTGAGAACTACCTGTACAATAGCTGTATTGTATCTTCCTATTATACTTTGACCAGAGTCCAAATATTATTGAAGTATTTTAAAACAATATTAAATATTTTCATTTCTTTATTTTTCAATTACTACAGCTTTGGAGAAGAAGGAATCAATATCTTTTTCTCTAAAGCCAATTCTAGATCTCCAGAGTACCTATCAGGGACTGATAGTTATCACTGTCATTAAAACTCCCATTTAAATGGAAAAATCTAATTATGGTTCTGTGTGCTTCATAATCTAGTAGTTGACTATGATTTCCACAAAACAAAATACACTTTTAGCCACCAGAGGGCTCCCACGTTGTTCTAATTGTTGCCTACTCTGATTTTAAAGTAGCAGTTAACAAGAGCAGGCTCCTATAAATAAATTCTGTTTCAGAACTTCAATAAAATTATATTACAATTTTAAAAATTCAGACATTTTAGTCTTAGCACAGGATTCTTGGGAAATCACTGTTATTATGTACTAATGATAGTACTTCAAAGAAATGAGGCTTCTAGGAACAAACTGGTAAATCAGGTACATACTGCCTCATAGTTTTAGGTTTTTATTCAGAAACCTGCTGATGCCAAATTAATCTTAAAAAATGAGCCAGAATCCAATTACTAGCTTGCTGTGCTATATTCTTTATTCACTCTTGCAAATTTAATGTAAGAACTACTGCTCCCAAAGGTAGTCTTTCTGTGGGCAAGAATATCCCTGAGGGAGAACTTAATTTAAAAACCAAAAATACATTTCTAAAAGTGACCTGATGGAGAATATATATTTCCCTCTAATCACTTCAGTTATTCCATACCCCCTATGTGAATTTGTAGGAGGACAACAACCCCTCCCGAGAAAGAAATATTTTGGGGAATATTAAAAAAAGTAGAATATATTTCCCTGAAGGAATAATAGAAAATCTTAGACAGAAACTGGAGACTTCTGGGTTAGATGTTGTGGTGTAATGGGCACAGGAAAATGGGGCTCCATTTTCCACGTCCAATTTTGCTCTGCTGGGGACCCTAAAAGGGGTCTAAAGTCGCCCTGGAGAGGCAACGAAGAAGAACAGGACCCTTGTCAATCGTGGAGGGGCAGTGGCCCCTCCGTTTGATCTGAGGAAGCCCTTCAAACCAGCAGAAGAAAGACTGGCCGCATTTATGTGACCAGCCAGAAGCCACTGACAACCCAAGAAAGGCACTAACTAGCAACTCCTGAACAATGCGGATGGAACTGGATGAGAATGTAACTTCTCTTTATAATTTCAAAACTTCTTCCTGGAAAAAAGAATTCTCTATCATCCCCTAGATGATAGAGACAAGGGGATTTTCTACTCCATTCTCTCAGGAAAAGATAAGTGGTGAATAACTTTATGTGTGGGGGAAATTAGAGAAAACTACAAGATTAATTTGGATTTAATATAGAGACATAGCTCTGGCAAATTTGGAGACTAAAAGTATTTTTAAGACTTTCTTTTTGAAAAGATATTTGGAAAGTTGGTGAAATAAGTTTGGACTTAAAAGCTGGAAGATGGATGTTAGCGACATCTAGTAGTGAACCTTGGCATTACAATTTATTATGCTTAAAGAAAATTTGGCACGAAGCCTGGACTTATTAAGCCTTTTTGTTGTTCCTGGAAACTTTCACTTTTGCAGACTGCAGCTAGGAAAAGGGGAAAAAACTGTTTGGCTGTTTTATCTGTATGAAAAATTCTGAATTGGCTGGCTTGGATTACAAATATTGACTGACTATTAGTTTCAAGAATTATTAAGAAATATTAAGAAATAGTGTGAAAGTTGCTTCTGGACTATTTCTCTCTGGAAGAAACATGAATAATCAAAAAGAAAATGTAAATGGACTTCAGAAAGAATTTTTTTCCATGTTGAAATCAATTCAAGAGACAATTGTTTTAAATCATGAGGAGACCAAAAATAATTTAAATAACATAAATGAGCAACTCTCCAACTTAAACCTACAAGCAAAAAATGTTCAGAAAATGACCATAAAGAATGAACTAGCAACTCAGAAACCAAAAGAAAAAATAGAGGAAACTGATATAAAGATAGAGGATTCAAAAGAAGAAACCAACAGACAGGCACAGATAAATAAAAGTTTGGAAGACCCAGATATAATACCGGAAATTACTTTCAAGTTACTTTTTAAGACTGCAGAACATACTTGAAGACAAGGAAGAATTATTGATAGAATGGATGACACAGCTGTTAGGAGAAATGCTGAAAACTGGGGAACAAGAAACTAAAAGAGAGACTGAAGGAGAAAGAAAAAGGAGGCTGTTTAACAAATATAAATGGATGAAGCATTTTTACAAAAACACTTTAATTAAATTGTCTTTTGTATTCCAAATAATATATACAAAAACAGAGGAAGAAATACTTGGTGACCTAAATGCACTGACTTTCAAAGTTAGTTGGCAAAGGAAGAAAGCTAGATTAAGATTAAATAAAATAGAAGTCCTGACTAATTAGATGAGGTATTATACCATCTAATGGATGCTTGAATATGATTAAAAGAATAGACAGCTGTTAAAAATAAAAGAATGGGAAATTAAAATTGAAAAAAGAAAAAAACAGGATACGGATTGAATAAGGGAACTTTGATTGCAAATACATTTGAGATATGTTTTGGCCAGAGAAGACAGTACAAACTGATATTATTGACACTATGTATAACATTAGAAACATGTGATGAAGATGTTTATATTTAATTGTATATGTATTAATAGCAGTATGAATTATACATGCATAATGTGGAAAAATTATTATTATTGGAAGAAGAGAGGACCAGGGAAATACTGGATGGTGTAGTATTGAATATTTTGAGTGAAAGTTAATATGTACCACTGAATGATAAAGGAACTCAGACACCGAGTTGTTTATTAAGTACTTATGACTGTAAAACTTGAAATTAATAGAGACCCCCAAGTCTCTCTGCCCAAAGCAGAAACCAGGTCTGTAGAAATGTAGATCTGATAATCCTATTCAGAAAAGTTGGAGCCAGGAAGTTTAGAAGCTGATGAGATTAGATTAAGAGCCGAGGTGGCGCAGCAGTTAGAGTGCAGTACTGCAGGCCACTTTAGCTGACTGTGTTCAGCAGGTCAGCGGTTCAAATCTCACCGGCTCAAGGTTGACTCATCCTTCCATCCTTCCGAGGTAGGTAAAATGAGGACCCAGATTGTTGGGGGCAATGTAAATATATATATATATATATACATTGCTTACTGGTGTACACCGCTTAGAGAGTGCTTGCACTTAAAGCGATATATAAGTCTCATAAAATAAATAAAATAAATAAATAAATTAGAAAGACAAAGACCCCTAAAATCTTCATATCCCACCCAAACTCTAAAAGACATGACCTTTGGGACATAATAGGATTAACCCACCACCATCAGAATACCAAAAAGACATGCTCAGAATCTCAGGTCAAAGTTCATGACACAGCAACAGGAAACAACCTCAAAAGCCCAAAAAGGTATAAAAACCCACTACTCCCAGCTACATGTGGTCAGCTTTCCCAGAACCATCTTTCTGTCTGGCATTCCTCTTCAATAAACTACAACCTTCTTTCTAAAGCAGTCTCCATTTTGTTTATCCCTGGCTTGGACTGGACCCTAATGAAGATTTTTCATTCAACAAATTAATCATGGCAAGAGCAGTTTAAGTGGAATGGGAAAGGCTGGACTCAAACATGTTTTAGTCATAAATTGTTGGCAAAATACCTTGAAGAAAATCTGCAGATTATTACTGAAATTGATGCAGCTCAATCCTCCATAAGACTAAAGGAATCCTTACATTGCACAAATATATTGAGGGGTGAGGCTTCAATAGCATGGCCATGCCCACCATCTGGACTTTTTTTTTTTAACCTCTGAGCAGACTCTTTCATTCTTCATACAATGAAGATTTATAAATAGTCCAGAGATTAGCAGAAGCAATTTACTAATTCAAATATTTTGGCCATCTAATGAGAAGAAAGGACTCACTGGAGAAGAGCCCAGTACTGGGAAAGATTGAGGGCAATAGAAGAAAAGAACAACAGAGAATGAGGTGGCTGGATGGAGTCACTGAAGCAGTAGGAGCTTAAATGGACTCCAGAAGATGGTAGAGGACAGGAAGGCCTGGAGGAACGTTGTCCATGGGGTCGCGATGGGTCGGACACGACTGCGCAACTAACAACAACAACAAAACCCAATTGCCATTACGATATTTTTTCCTTTCCTATTCTAATCAAAGTCACTATTACTGACTTTGTTAGGGTTCATTTCAAAAATGTATATTGCAACTGGTGGTGTTGTATTTGTATCTTATATTTGTTATATTTGTATGACCATAATGAAATGGGAGACAACATTGGAATATGAAAAGTAGGATACAAGTTAAATCACACAGAAATCATAGAATACTATGATTTTTTAATTTAGAGATTGATGGTACAAATATTAACTTTATAGAGTGGGCTAGTTTTTTCTTGTTTTAAGTAATCTCTAACTATATTATACCATTACACTTTGTGTGTAATATGGATATTGTCCGTGTTGCCATTGATAATAACTGTAAATGAGCAGAAAAGAGTTAGCTTTACTATCAATATCTTTAAAACAGGTTTTTTTTAAAGAGGGGTGGACAGAGAATATCTTATTTCACAATCAGAAATCAAGTTCCAAAGCATTAGAGTCTATTTTCCCATTTTTCTGCACCTCATTTTTGTACAAATATGGTAATATTCCCAGTGGTATCTGCTAAAAATTTAAAATCTCTCTAACAGAAGAATATACATTGTCAAACCCTTCTGAATTTATACGTTAGTTCATGAAAATATTGCAGCCATTTTTTTATGAAATGGGCTTTTGGAATGTTAGAAATTATATAAACATGCATAGAATGAAATACAGTAAAATGAATATAGTTTTTATATTTACCATCTACAAGAGTGCACTTCCAAAATTGGGCTATTTTTTTAGCTAATGTTTTCTTCCCAACACCCTTAAAATGAGAAAAACAAAAAGGAAAGGATTATTAAAATTAGAATAAATGGAAGTACTTCAAAAGTAACATATTAGAATAGAACAATGAAAACTGAAATATTTATTACAATAAGGAGTGACTAGAAATTCCATCCACATGATTAAATCTCAGAAATCCTGTATATGGCTCTAATTGTGCATGCAATATATTCTGTTTTTTTCAATTTTTTATTGAAAAATGGCGTCCCTCTTGTCCTTGCTACCTTTCAAAGCAAAGATATATTTGACACTTCTAACTCATTAGCTCTGGTAGTTAAATCAATGTGATTCTCTGTTATGTGCTACATATCTGCTTGAAAAGTTTTGTGTTAGGGATAAAAAGAAACAAAGAAAACTAGGGCTATGATCATTGCTTCTAGTAAATATATAATATACTTAATATATTAGCAAACAATTCCATTTTACAAAGCAAAATTGATAGAGCTACATTAGGGAGCTTGGCCCTATTGCTGATTAATCAATCAATCATATTCATAAAGTGCTAAATTCTGAGGATTCAGAGCAGCTTATTACATAACACACACAAGGAACAACACACAATAAACAATAAGTAGAAAAGAAAGTTCCACAAACCAATGAAAACATGAAATAAAATTAAATAAATGGTAACTAAAGCAAGTTGGAATCAAGGCCTAAGTACCTTCCAGAAGAGCTCTGTTTAAAACAAAGGTGCTTTCCCAAAAGGCAACTGGCCTTATTTGTTTTTTTTTTCCTTGAAAATGGTTTGCTTCTCATCCAAGAACCTTCTTCAGCTCTGAGATCCCAAACATTTTCAAGGAAAAAACAAAGAAAGTCCAGGTGACCTGTATGATTGAAAATCTCCATAGACATCTATTTAGAACAGCTTCCAGAAGGCAGGCAGCATGGGAACCAACCAGAAGTCTATTAAGAGGCTTCATTAAAGGACCAATCCTGCCACTGAAAAGCAGCACCCTTCTCACCCCTGAAGTGGAACACTACTTGTAGTTTCTCCTGGGTAGATTGCATAGGCTAGGTCAATTCCAAATGAAGACTGCAGTTCTGCAATTAACCTTGTGCCAAGCCATGTAGGACTTTTAGATTAACACCAACGTTTTAAATTGCACCTAGAAGCCTGCACTTTCCAAGTGATCTTCAAGGGCAACCCCATATAGAATCTGTTGCAATGGTCTAAACATCATGCTGATGATGACGTGAGTCACTGCAGGAAGATCTTCCCAGTCCAACTTGTACAACAGCCAAAGCTAGGAACATCCATGGTTGTAACATCCCCCTTTCTCTTCTAGCAGATCTGAGACCCTAGAAGAACCCCCAAGTCATGGACACGCTCATTCAGGGATAGTACTATCCTATTAATACAAAACACTAAAACCGACAGCAAACCCAATGGTAAAACAGCAATTCCTTCTTTCTAGGGCTCAGTTTAAGCCTTTTCTGCTCCTTCTAGTCCAGTGGTGGCAAACCTATGGCACGCATGCCAGAGGCAGCACTCGGAGCCCTCTCTGTGGGCACACGTGCCGTTGCCCCAGCCTTGCCTCCTCCAGTGACCCCCTCTTCACCACAGCCCCCCTGGAGGAGAGTCACGCCCGAGTGTGGCCCATGCAGAGCAGTGCAGCCAAGGACATGGCAGCCAGGCAGTGTAGACAAGACTCTGCCCTCACACCCCATCGCGCACAGTTGGGGGTGCGGGCAGAGGGCATGGCCGCAATGGTGCTGCTGAGCTGCCTGGGCGATCTGCAGTGGGCCCTGGAGGCAGTAAGTGGTCCTGTGGGCAGGCGGGGTGGGGGATGGGGCGGAGCAGGGACAGGGCAGGGGGTGGAGCAGGGGCGGGGCCAGGTTTTGGGCACTCTAAAAGGTTCGCCATCACTGTTCTAGACTCTTAAGGCATTCTCGGTGATGAACTCTCCCAGCAGCAAATAAATGTTAAAGAGGAAATTTAAATGCAAATATTAAATAGCAATAACACTTAGACTTATATACCCCTTCATAGTACTTTACAGGCCTCTCTAAGCAGTTTACAGAGTCCGCATATTGCCCCCAACAATCATTTTACTGACCTTGGAAGGAGAGAAGGCTGAGTCAACCTTGAGCCGATCAGGAGGGAGGATAAATAAATTGGAGATAAAACTTATTCCGGCATCACTCCCTAATTATTTTCCTAATTTGGTATTTAAGAACAGTTTAAAGTTTACTTAACAGTGAGACGTGTTGAAACATGACTTTCATCATCCCCAGCCACCATAGCAATATTGATCATAGCTGAAAGAATTCCAATACATTTGGAAGATTAAATTAATGCTTCAGATGCTAAACTAATGTAAGTAAATAAAAGATATGAACTGTTTTATTCTGGGAATGGCCCCTCAGAAGTGTTATTGGGACCAGTATAAAGTAGAACAGATTTGTACAGATGCAACTGCTGCTTAAATTCTCCTACCATCGAATGAGAATTTTCAAGAAAAGTCTAATCTAAATTCAGAAACATTAGTGGTGTATATAGATTTTGGCTTGCTGAATTAAGATCTACTGCAATTATCAGCCAGAAAAACAAAAAAGTCCCACAATGACATCACTATAATTTCTTTCAGCAACATTAATTAAGTCACTGCTAAAGACACCCGGAGTATTGGAATACTCTGTGCAGCATCATCTCAAATGCATGACAGAAATAAATCCCACAGAAATCAATGTAATTTGTTTTCTAATGCAAAGTTCAAGAGGGAGTGATGCTGGAATAAGTATAGTATAGTATAGTTAGGCAGAAGCCAATCCATAAGATATATTGCAAAATAAGATTGTGGCACTCAGCATTGTGGAATCCAAAGGACAGATTTTATGAACCTCTATATAATGACTCCCTATAGCCACCATACTTCGTGATATAGCACAACAGTCATTTATCTGCTTCCCTGCAACAGACAGTAATAAAATAGAATAAACACAATACAATATAGTACAATGCAACTGAGGCGCTGAGCAAAATTCTCCCATGATGCATCATGAAAAAATACCTACTGGTCTTGGCTAACACTGTAGACCCAGTGTCTGAGGGAAAAGGTTTTCAGAGCCTTTTAAGAGACTTTCAAATTCAGGGCCATCTGACTGTTAGAGGAAGAGGAAGGCCAGGCACTCTGACAGAAAAGATATGCTTTCCTGGTCCAACTAATTGACAATGCTTAACAAGAAACCCAGAGCAGGTCCATTTTGTCTGAATTGTTGAGGAGAAATCATGAGAAACAACCAGTCCCATAATAACCTGACCTTATGCCATACATGGGTGATAACCAGCCCTTGGAAGCAACTGAAAACAATGTAGCTCATGAAACACTGATACCTTAGTATGCCATGTGATATGCCCAAAGCTACATATTCTGCTGCATTCTGGATCAGTTGCAGCCTGCTTTTCAAAGGAAGTTCCAAGAATATCAAATTGCAACAGTCCAAATGGAAGGTGATTAAAATGTGAATAACTATGGAAGAATTTCCTGATCCAGGAATGAACACAACAGATGCAACTCTGATTTTTACAACTCAGCAGCCCCCTGCTTCACTGAAACCTGACTAAATGAGTCAACTGATGTAATTGGTGTTTAGCTCACAAAATTGACCCTTTGGCCAGTCATCTTGGAGTTCCTGATGGATGGTCTGGACAAAGGGCTTTCCACAAGCACCATCCGTAGGCAGGTAGCAGCACTTGCCACAGTTATTTCCTGCGGCAATGAATCCTTAACACAGCACCCTATGATACGCTCCTTCCTAAAAGGAGCTAACAACGCCAGACCACCAACTGTACATAGATACCCCTCCTGGGACCTTCATCAGGTTTTACAGGCTCTTGTTTCGCCACCCTTTGAACCTATTGACACTTGTTTGTTCAAACAGTTATCAATCAAGGTGGCATTTCTTGTTGCTGTAACTTCAACCAGAAGGATCTCTGAGCTGGCTGCTCTGTCAGTGAGGAAGGACCTGTGTATTTTCCATAAGGACAGGGTAACCCTCAGGTTAGACCCCTCCTTTGTGCCCAAGGTTAATTCCTTGTATCATAGATCTCAGGAGATAGTTTTGCCGGACTTCTGTCCTAACCCATCTAATGACATAGAGGTTCAGTGGAACAAATTGGATGTGCGCAGGGCCTTATATTGTTATATACAGAGAACCTCATCCTTCCGCAAGACAGAGGCTCTGTTTGTGTCATTTCACCCTTCGTCATTAGGACAAAAGGTTTCTTCACCCACTATAGGCAGGTGGATTAGAGCTTGTATTTCTCTGGCATACCAGACTCAGTCACTGCAAGCTCCCAGGCATATCACGGCCCATTCCACCCGGGGCACAGCTACTACAGCTGCCTGGTCTACTCAGGCCTCCGTAGAGGAAATTTGTAGAGCAGCAACATGGGCATCACCCTCTTCCTTTGTCCATCACTACAAGATGGATATATATGCCTCTTCTACGGCTTCATTTGGACGCAAGGTTCTAGAGCACGCATTAACGTTGGATGGGACCCAGGCCCAATCTAATTCCCCACCCTAGGGACACTGGGCTTTGGTATGTCCCATCCATGGGTTCTCCATCCAATCATGCTGGAGAAAGGGGCATTGTCTTACCTGAACGCCTTTTCTCAGCATGATGATGGAGAATCCACTCCCTCCCATTAGGTCAGTTGGCCTGGTTCCCATATTGTTCAGACGCGTCGGACTAAAGTCTGAGTATCGCCTTAGCCTAAAACTGGGGTGCAATTGGCACAGAGGGGGCGGTACTAAATTTCAGACTTAGTCTAATTGGAGCAGATAAATTAAGACAACCACTTGGCCTTGGTGTCTGCTCGCCAATTCCTGAGCCAAAGGAGCCTTCGTGCTGAGATGTCTGCTGCGATGGTCCGGGCAGTGTATCTGGCTGTGTGCAGGGAAGCATCGGCTAGGTACTGAGACGTGGCCACTAACTTACCCAGATTCTGGTGAGCTCTGAGCTGATCCGGAGGGA